ATTCATATAAATATTCAAATTACTCTATACAAATATTCAAGAACTTCCCTACAGTTCTGGAAACGTAACAGGAACCAGCATTAGTCGTACTTGAGCAACGATTTCCGAAGTTATGGCGTTAGATTAACAATTCATATATAAAATTATTAGATTTTTTAAACAATTATATTTTTATTGTAGTTAGTTAATTGCACTAATGTCTCAATTGTATATGCTTAATTATGATTATTGTTCTGTACATGTTTCTTTTTTAGGAAATACCATTATAGTAGTAGGGTTTTTGGGTGAAAAGTCTATTAAGAGATAACTTATCCTTTTATATATTACATCCCTTTAACATTCTATATTCGTATCCTTTGGTACAAAGGTAAATAAAAATCTGGTAAATAAAAATCTCATTACAAAAAGTATTTATTTTCATAGAAATTATTAACGTTTGTGCAAACAATCTTAGTCCAATATATTTCTAGACGGTTTCTCCTGACCTCGTTAATAACTTTCTAAATTATTTTCTTACTACAGTTACTTACTGTCTAATTAAAAACATTATTACGACACAGTTTATTATATTGAAATATAAATAATAAATACCTTTAATATGATCAAATCTTATCCCAATAAAGGTACGTAATTGGCCAACAAACAGTCTATTGATCTGTGAAATAGAACCGTTTAGCTCATCTTTAATACGGCAGCCGACGTTTTTAACCAGAAGTTATTGAATCTCCCGAAATCCCCCGGCCGAGGTAAATTTCGGCTTAGAGTATGAGGTTATGAATATTTCCTATTAAGCAAAAAGCGCCCGCTATGAAATAAAGACTTCCTAACGAAGTTAAATGGTTTAGTGAAAGTTTTATACTGGTGCTGGGCCAGCAGAAAGACGTTTATAAGCTGACGTCTTAACTGGGAGCCTGAATAAAGTATAGCCTCAACCAAAACTTTTATATCCTTTAAGTTGGCTCCGTAAATAACTGATGAATAACAAAAAATGGAACATGATCGACTTAAAAAATAAGGGTTTTGTGAGGAAATTAAATGAAAAACAGAATAACACAAAAAAAATATATTTATTATATTTGAATTCTTGGTTTTGTAAAATATTTTTTGTTCATTGTTATTTCGTTTACTATAGCATATTATTTTAGTAACTCACACACACACGCGCTACTCCTGTCGCTCATAAAAGGAAACTTTAGAGTGCATACACATTTGTAGATACACCAAAATAAATATTTATATTAAAATGATACTTTAACTTATTTAAAAGTAAATGTATGTAGATAAAAAGAAATTGATAATAAATTATAATAAATAAAATATTTACATTTCCTTTCGTATTGATATGAAATATGAATACTCATAAAGTAACTTGTTTTCTCCGAAGCTCAGTACTATTTACTTTAATCAACCTGTAGTGATTCCAATTACTACCTGAATATTAAGAGAAATGGCCATAAGAACCTCTGTGAACAAACGGAACGCGAAATGCATTTAAAACCAAACTTATCTAGACATCTCTAAACCAATTTATTTTATATAATTCTATGTCTTTATGTATAAAATGAAGTCGTGTTAGCTACATTATTTACAACTGAAGAATGGCTGTATGGGTTTCGCTGGAAATTAGTGGAGAAATACTAAAAGGATATAGGATAATTTTCATCAGATTGTAAAAGAAAAAACTGAGTTCATAAAATCCAAAATCTTTTATCTTCTACTGTCTTTAAGGAGAAATAGAGTTCGCCCGATCAGCTATACATTTCTAATTCTGAAACTAACGCAGACAAAGTCGCTGGCGCAAACTAGTTTATAATATTTTTCATAATAACAACTTGATCTTTATATAATTCTAACATATAAGAGCAATAACGATTGATATGTTTTAATATCACAGTCAATATTGAATCTCTGTTTCCGTGGCCCGCGTCTATCTAAAACGTCGGGGTTCAGGCTTAATGTGATTATTAGTTTATGAGATGAACGCGTGACGCACGGATGGACAGCGCTTGTTATACGCCTTATTGGAAAATTTATAACGAATTACGCTCAAAGTATGGACTACGGTAATATATCTCATACACTTATCTATACTAATATTATAAAGCTGAAGAGTTTGTTTGTTTGTTTGTTTGTTTGTTTGTTTGAAAGCGCTAATCTCCGAAACTGAAGGTTCGAATTGAATAATTCTTTTTGTGTTGGATAGTCCAGTTATCGAGAAAGGCTTTAGGCTATATAACATCACGCTACGACCTATGGGAGCAAAGATATAGTGGTAAATGTGTAAAAAACGGGAGAAATTATTTCATCTTTGAAGCCTTCCGTTGCGTGCGTCGTGAAAACGGTTCAAGATACACAAAAAATATGTATTAAAGAATAATAGCTCTTTTAATGATCTAAAAAACACTCCGGGCCGTATATGTCTATCTTTTAAGATTAACTCACAAAAACCGTTTTTATGGTACCTTATTTGGTCGAAATAATTTGTTTAAGTTGTATCAACATAATAATATTAATCTTTATTCAAATAAACAAATAAATAAGTTGTTGGTTAAGAGTGCTTCATTGTGAATAAAAAAAACATAGGTTTTATCCTGAAAATTCTACGGAAACTCAACCATTCCGAAATCCCCACAAGAACGGGAACTATGTGGGAAGAACCAAAAACCTGCCGTAAGTCACTATTCCACGCGGACGGAGTCGCGGCAAAAGCTAGTAATACATATATTGAACGAAACTGCATTTTCCATAGCTCGTACAGGAAAGCATTAATGTCTGTAACCATTTATTAAAGAACCGGTTTATACATACATAACCCAAAACTAATGTAGTTCAAGTTAACATGGAGTATACGAGTACAGACGGACGAGCTTACCACAAGTCTACCTTGTATTTCAAACGAATCGTTTCCAGGTTTTCCTTCATACCTTTATATTATATATAGAGATTGGTCGATAAAAAATTAAAACCTTCCATTGTAATATTTTTTTATATATTACGTTGCAGGCTTGTGGTATGGATATGATTCTGATTAATAAATATTAATAATTATTATTAATTAATATTTTCATAAGTAACTCGAAACGGTTTTATTCTTCTTTATAAATTCTTGCTGAAAAATTATATTCGTGTTTAACATATATTTAAATATATAATAGAATGAGTTGATTTTATTTTTTTTAATTAAATTTTACTTCGAATCTTGTGTCGGTTTTGGGACATCAGGTAGTTAAACTTTTATAATAACACGACGTAGTGTTTGCCACGAGTTGATTTTTGTCAATACTCATGTGATCGCCCATCAAAACTTAGATCGAGAAACGAGAATCGAGTCTTCATATTATCACAGTACTAAATAACACAAATTTCTAACAGTTTATATACATGAAATTTCATACAACCCTCTAAAACACGATCAGTAAAAAATAGAATAAGAAAAGCTTCATAAAAATATATCATTAATTTCCAAAAAACATCTTTAAAGAACCGTATCATATCATACGATACATGTCATCATTTTTTATTGTAACAAATGATAGTAAGTGTATAGTGTACGCGCCCGCCGCCGCCGTATGTGCGACGTCATCTGATTAAGTTGGTAAATCGAGCGGAAGGATTGATGGATGGCTCGTTAATTATGTTTTAACGGAGAGCTGGAGCCTTCGGTGGAATCGTGACTTGGAACTTAATATGGGAACTATTGCTGATAACAGAAATATATCAGTCTGTAGAAGAATCAGAGATATACGAACGAATGTCTGATATTGATGAGTTGAACGTCTCTAGAACATCGGTTGGCAGACGATATTTAAACTTGTTTTATATGTTAAGTGAGCCCAATTTGCATTTAATATGTTGGCACACTACATCAGACACTTGGACGGACTCCCAATTGTGTGTAGGAACATAAAAATACAGAGCCACCAGTAATAGATGGCCATAAAGCGTCGCCTGGGAACAAAAGTGATTCGTTGCCATACCATACTACGCCAGAACTGATTTATTGTGTTATTAAGGGGCAGTTAAAACATCTTATACATCTAGAGATTGAAAGAACATTATGCTACATTGTGTTAGATTTTAACACTTTTAATGATCATCATTATGTACACAATGACCGGCTTCCCCTTAATTGGTCCAAGAACAATAACAGTAATGAAGCCGCGTTAAACGCCATCCCGACTAGAGGCATGGGATTTATGTGGCTCGATTAACACGAACAAAACAAATGGAAGCAACAATCAAAAGAACTTTTATATTAAAAATGAATAATTAACATGCAAAACTATAAAAGTTGTCTCCAATGATATAATTTGCAATGTATCCTAATTTCTTTTTAAACTTAATGATTCCTTTCAACAAAGTAAACGACATGTACTTATTCCTTATTATACATACATATTCCGTCGTTATAAGCGAGCGACCTAATTTCACTGTAATTTTATGGAAACAAAAAGCAATTTAAAGAACAGAATGCGTTCATTACCATCAAAACTCGATTCATAGATATAAAAACGTGTACGGGACCAGTGTGCCAAATAATAAATCCGGATTAAGTGAGCGAAGTGTTGATATACGACGCGAATAACTTACTGACGAAACTTATTTAACTACATAAACTAGGGACAAAACTCAAAAATATGAAATCATTTTTATGACAGAATTATTATTAAGTAGTTATTACCTTCCAGATTTTCTTTAACACATAAAGTAGACTTATAATGATAAAAAAATATGAATAAGTTGAAAATAAATATTAATATTTCATTATTAATCATTTCATTTTAATAGGACGTAAAATGATTTCATAATTTGAACAATACAAAACCCTCATTAAACATTCTAAATGCTGTATTTAAAGAGCCGTTCGAATAAAATTATCGCAAATTATATACTTCCAACGTTTTTCGGTTCATTGATTTTTATTTTATTTTTCATTAGCAATGTTCTAATCATCGTCAAAGTTGTAATTAAGTTATTATATATACAAATGTATATATTAATTACAAGTGGTCGGTCAAGTCCACAGTGTACGTGGTATATTTGGTCGTGTAGCATGGTATATTTGAATACGGCGTCGCATCTATATCACACGAAGCGATTCCCTGAGCTCGAAAATTTGCCATAATTTTACTTGACATTCCGGAGATCGCCGCTGTAATGGGAAATGACGCTATTCTTGCTCTAGCATTGGACGCCATGTTTGCGGCCATTTCTTATTTAGCTTTACAGCATTCCTGACCAACGGGATTGCATTCAGCGCTTTGTTCTTTGTATCTATTTGCGTTGTTTTAACATTCGGACATTTTGTATTTGTAAACGACGAGAACGAAACAAATGGTGCTTTTATTATTGTAATTATTATAAATAGTTGTTTCTATATGATTTCTAGATGTCAATATATTAATATTATTATAAAATATTATAAAAAATTCATCTCTTGATGCATGTGGCTCATATTTAACATATTGTTCACACAGTCCCAGTGTTTTATACAATCGTTATAAACGCTCAATTTTTATGAATAGTACTTGATTTCAATTAAAAAACACTCGTAAACTGTAACTGCTAATTTTAAACAATGTTGAAATGTTTTAAAGTGGTCGGTCGTATGTTCAATATTGAAATATTTTACGTGAGTTAAATTAAATTTTCAACCATTTAGATAACAAATGTTGTTCATGGAACATTTTTACTAACAATATTCAAGTGTTTTAGTTTTATATTAATCAAAATATTTGAGATCGATTAAATTAATATATGTATAATTTACCAACATCCGATGTATGTAATATGTATGTATGTATGTGTGTTAGTTATTATCTCTCTCACTAAACCCGCTCCCACCGTGTCCCTGTTTCCTCTTAACATTTTTTTGCCAACAGCAGTCAGCTCATAAATTATCCAGGACGTGGCCGGACTAACAAATTCTAGTGTCGTGAATATTTGACACCATTTTTATTTTGGTAGTCGGTTTACGGCGGCACGAAAATACTTCGGGGATTAAAGTGTGTGCGAAAGGGTTAAAGATGGGTTTGGTTAGTTTTTATTAATGTATTGTTGTTAATTAACAACGTCTTAAAAGAATGTTGTTGTAAAGATGTTTTGACTGTTTTAAATATAGAGGATAGGACTAAATGAATTGTAGTCGTCTTGTTTAAAACAATCTAAATGTTCTGAATCCTCAGTTAAGTATACATAGTTTGTAACGACTGCCGACTGCCGTTTCCCTTCCAGTACCCAGGGATTACGCCCCCAATTGTATCAATTCAGTTTACAATTCATGAGATAATACTCGGCTTTAACAATGAAAAACACAAATGGTCGTATATTTATTGGGTTATTTACGAAACATTATAGATGTCGCTGTGAGCGCGGCCGCCATTACTCAGCCTGGATTAAATCGTTGAATTTTAACCGGGATTTAGTGTGATGCTGCCTTTGAACGGAGGAGCGATTAGCGACGCGGCTCAGAACGAAATGATGACTTAAAGTTTGTATTATATATAAACAATTATAATACATAATATAATAAAACAAAGGAATTGACTGATTAAATTATCATGTCTAGATAACGATTATAATACGATCCAGTAAGTCTTCGATTAATAGAATTATTATACAATATTTGCGTTGTTCGTAATGAAATAAAAAAGAACGACGTCTTCATATTAATTTAGTTAGATATGAAAATAAACTTTGTAAGAGTTAAGAGAAACCACGGTAATATAATATGATGAAAATACATGATAATGTTTATATGTATATGATTGATCGACAACACGTGAAACTTGAACCGTGCTAACATGTTCCACATCTGTTTGGGGAATCTTAAAAACTTATTTCTTTGAACAAATGTATATGATTACAATATTATATAAAGAAATTCTTACCCTAAATGCCTCGGATTCTAAAACTGAAGAATATTTACGTAATTATTAACTTTTATAATAAAACTAAGTCTAAATCTTCTTGCTGTTACTATTAGGAAACATTTGTATGGAGTCATCTCATGATCCTCTTCATGTAGTGTCTTCTTCGAAGTATATATCACATATAGAATAGTCTAGTAGTAATAATAGTAGTCTCTCTAACAGACCCGATCTCTCTTGAAACTCACTCCATCTATGAAATGGATAACTTTAAGGCTCTCCTTAGATGCATCTCTAACTCGGCCTAAGTTCGCCTCAAATTCATTTAACACTTGACATTATATTGAGAGACCATCAATTACATCACGTATATTAGTAGGGGAATATAATTTATTTGAGATTCCGTATATTTTGTAGAATAGCAAGGGAGTTACAGTCACTTGAACATGGACAATATACATATATTAATGTTTTATTATTTTTTATTTCAAATAGTATAAAAAAATTATGTAGGAATGATATCGAAAGATTTTAATTTTATGTATGTTATTACTGAGATGTCGGATTTAGTATCTTTTTTCTATTAATTCTCAATATTGTTTTTTGTTAGTCTTTAAGAACATGTAATTATTTGTCAAAGACTATTTTTATGTTTAATACATAAGTAGCGAGAGGTCTTATTCATATTTATTTGTATAAAAGTCTTAATTATTTTTATTTAACGTGTTGAAATTCAAACAATCTCGAGTTAAAGCATCAAAAATTCTAGAAAATATTCTAAAGCATGTTTTTAAGTATTAAATGAAACGTAATTATGATAAGAATTATAAGAACAATGATATGATTTCTGTAAAGTAACAGTGATGCTGCAAAATTTAAAATACGATAAAGATTCTTACTCATTAAATAATAATATTTTTTTCAATACAAGTTGTTCACTATTTTCTTGTACTTGTCTTAAAATTAAAATATGCAACGCGATAGACCCGGCACCCGCATGGTGATTCCATGGAATGATGAGAAGTTTCGTCTCATTTTATTGTTTAACAAGAACATTAAAGTTAATAATTTATTGACAAAATTAACATCTGTAATTTTTGTAGTATAAAATAGTTTTGTAAAATATGATTCTTAGTCGTTTCCTAAATAAAAGTATTCGTTCAATTTATATTAAGCCATTAAGAATATATAAAGCGACTTTTTCAAACTCGACGCTTAATCATCATTTGTTTTTGAGATCTGGCCAAGTTACAGACATTTATAGTTTAATTTTTGATATACTTCTTTTCATAGTATTTAACATTTTCTTTACATTCTCAACCTGACCTTATTTCATTATGTTTAGTATAAACTAAATATATATACAGGGTGACTGGTGAATTACTATCAATATTTAAGGAACATACTCGGTACATGATTCTCATTCGAATTATGTAAAAAAAATAGGTACTTAATTTTTGACCAAATTTCCGTAAAAATAAATAAAGTGTGTACACGTTCCAAGTGTTCCAAGTATGGACGCGTGCGGCGGCGTGCTGATACAACAACACGCCGCCGCGCGCGAGTGTGTGTGTGAGAGTGTATACCTAATCTGTAGGGTGTTCATACGATGCGTAATTAATTACATAACTTTTGGTTAACTTTACTTAGAAGTTTATTAATATTTATGTTATATTAATTTTTATTCTGTCATATATGATCGTCAAATATCACGTCCTCAAATATTGATAGTAATTCACCAGTCACCCTGTATATATATATATATATATATATTTGAATACTGAGTGGACCCGCGACTTTTCCCGCGTTTCGTAATGACGTTGGCACCATATTTTGTTTTATCTTTTAATTTATTTTGGTTATACACCTTCGTTTTGATTACAAAATGTAACTTTACAATAATGCTATAGAGTCATTTGACCTAAAAGCATACTGGCTGATAGGACTACTCACCCGGACAGAGCCCCTAAAAAACATATAGCCAAATATTTTCTCTCATATCTTTCATGCACATATTATACTGGTACACGTTTTATGTGTATAGATAGTAACTATTCCTAATTTATTTATTATAAAATATGATCAAGTAGCCAAATTGCACTAAAAGAATTCTCTTTCTGTCAATCTTAAAGAAATTAAGTTACACAAATGTACATACGTACATTATACATGCATACATATTATGCTTTGAATATGCAAACAAATGTACTCAAAAATATTTGGATACAAAAAAGACTTGCAATCACGGGCGCGCTTGAATGGCGTCAGTCGTTTTGTAAAAAAAACTGAACGCGTATTTAACGCGTATTTAATTTTGACTTTGATTTGTTGTCCGACGGGTTTAGATCTATCTTAGGGTATTTTTAAACCATTCCGTTAATCTTTTAATTGAAATGAGATATTAAACTGTAGTTTTATTATGTACATCTGTATTTTACTCAATATTTATTATAATTTTGTGGCACTTATAATTTTTTCTGAACATGTTTTAGTTTTCATGACTGTATACATTTTTGTATATATATTTTGTATATATTTGTGTTCTTATTGCATTCTCCTTATGTTTAAATAAAAAACATGTTGGTCTGTACTTTTTATTGCACAACAAATTCCTTACAGTTATTTTAATTAAATGATATGTCGTATAAAATATATGTCATTTTCAACAACATATGTATATAAAAAATCCTATTTTATATATAGGGCCGTGGAACTGGTATCAGTCAAAGAAAAATCCATCGTCAGCTTACACCACTTAGTGTAGACACTCTTCTGTTATCGATACCTGTAAGAAGACAAGACTGAACAAATAGTGATGTGGTTTAAATTATACAATAGATAAATATAAAAAAATATAGTATTAATATATTATTTAATATTTTACCCTACTGCGATAGAATGAGGTTTATATTTTTCGTCTGTACCTTTGCATGTATAGTTCCTTGGGAAAGGTATAGTAGTGTTGATGGTTAAATGAAAATGAACATTTTAAAGATTTTTGGTACAAAAATGTATGTGTTTAATATACCGTAAGCGTCATCAAAATTAAGAATTTTTAATAGTCTTTTATATATTTTAAATTCAATTAAACTACAAAACACTAAAATAATATAAATACAATGTTTCCATTTCTGTCTGTTCAGTCCTTCAGCGTATTAAACAATAGACATCACATACCGCAGTCGGTTATTTTTCATTTTTATTATTTTTCATTTTCAATACTTATACCTTAATTATTATATTATTTCTAATTGTACGACTACTCTATACCTATAAACTACTAAAATACATATATAAAGTTATAAAATATACATACAGTGTTCTGTGACTATTCGTTGCAGATCATCTCCAGTGACGAAGGTAGTTTTGAGTCCGTGGAAGCCATGACCTTCCTCAACACACCACAGAAGAAAACGACACTTCTCACTCTCCATGTCCTCGATCACAGAGTTCATATTCTGATAACAAACCTCACACTCACACACAATACATTAACTATATTATATACAAGAAAACTTACAATAATGAGATCTAAGATTACCGCGAACATTCATTTAAATGAAACTAATATTATTCGAGTTACTAGTTTTTTTTTAATACGCGTAGTAATCCGAAAAATATTAGTTTCATTTAAATCTTGCAATGTTAAATTACTATAATTTTAGACGTTGTAATGGCTCATTGTTGCAAATGTTATTAGAAACTATAAGAGGATAGTTTAAAAAAAAGCCTGGAAAGTATTATGCAATAGTCATTCAGTTCCCAAATAAATATTAATAATGACTAACCATTTTACATCTACAATTCAGTACATCATTGCAATATCTAACAATACGTATAATAAAATATAAAATTCATTTAATTTTACGTTCCTTTAAATATAATCTGAGCCTTAACTCGTTAAGAATGTAACTTTGAAAGCAATCTCATGAAAATTACATTGTTAAGTATGGTCAGTTATATGAATGCTCTTTATTTTGATCGTGACTATTTTCGTATAATACAAATTCAATAGAAATTTGTCACTATATAAATTTTACTCTTCTCAAACTTACTAATATTTGAAACCAAGGGTTAAAATCTATAGCTGTTTAACAACATATGGTCGATAATTTATTCCTAATTTGCTTTTGAAGTGAAACTTCGTATGTTGGAATGAAAATAGGACGGATTAGAAATTGATATTTAAGAAAAATTTTTTTTGTGTCAAAATTTTTTTTTTTTTTTTAAGACAAACTTTATAAACATTACTTACGAATCACAGTTAATTGCTCTCATGCATTTAAGCGCTACGTAGTCCCTCTCGCTCTGACTTTTTTATCCCCCCCTAAGAGCGTTAAACGTTTAACGCAACCATATTGGAAGTTGCATAAGATGTTTCACTTCACGATTCAGTCTCTATATATACCACTAACCTCTATAACTCCTACATCAGCGTGTGTGTTATTCCTCGCGTCCAAAATAACTACATGTCCAGGGATTTTTCTCAATACCCTCCCAACATGTTCCACACTCGAGTAACACATTACATCAGGGAGACACACCAGCGACACGTCCAGCGACCCCACCTGAAAAAGAAAGAAAGAACATTTTTATTTGGGACCATACAAAAATGATGAAATAACAGTTATTTCAAAAAATAAGAAATAAAACAAAAAAAACGAAAAAGACAACTTATAACTGTTAAAAAAAAATTAAAAGAAAGAAAAAAAAATAATGCTATACGTGTCCCAAATAGGTATACCATTCAGCAATTAATAGGCGTGGACACCTAATGCTGGTTTTCAATGGTACCCTTTTTGGTAACTACTGTCGGGGGTTGACCAAGTTAAAATAAGAACAATATACATTAAATATATAATTTAGTAATATAATCGATATTTCGTACAAGTCAAAACTAGTTACTGGGAATGTCATCAGAATGCCACGTGCGCCGCTGGTTGCGAGACGTGCATGTCGGTATTATTATTCGTTTATTGTACGTTTGTTTTAATTAACATTAACACCATCATATATTATGTATGTAGCAGCGGGTCTTGTTAAGTGGTACACACTGTAACTAAGACTTCTTTCTAATTTTTTTCAAACAATAACCATCATATTATATACGTCCATATATATATTTATATATATCTCCCTCTCTTTCATCCATGTAATGCCCTTTCACACACTCAACTCATATATGATTTCGTATAATGAAACAATTAAAGTAACAGAAACATATATATGCCAATATTATATACTTCTATAATGATAACTATATGTACGAAATGAATACTGATAAAATCTTTCACCAAGCATTCTCTTAGTTTCATCAATAAAGAAGTGATCTTTAGAAAAACAATACAAACAGAACTTATAATAATTGTATTAAAATAAAATAACTCAAAAAAAAACAGAAGTTTTGATAAATTACAAAAAATTACGATATGTTTTATAAACATAATAAAAATAGTCTCGCATCTATTATATTAAGAGTTTAAGAAGATAACAATAAAAAAAAGATATTATCTTATTATGTATTTCTATTGATGCAAGTATAATTATGATATCAAAGCTAACCTTGAACTGTTGAGTGACCAGCCGCGGTCGGGAGGCGGCGTACATCACTCTTAGAGCATCACCCGCCGCGCCCGCCGCTATCCCGTACTCTAGACCCGCCGTCACACCCACCACGACAGTCAGGAACCACACGAACAACTCCGACTCTGTTATAAAGAAATAAAGTGTTGACGTTACTTGCCAGAACAAAAAAATATTATTATTTGACATATAAAAAAAACTAGCAGACTATAATTATTGTAATTATCGTATGGTCCTTTGTATTATGGGAATTTAGAAGGAAAACTTAAATGCATCTGAATTTAGGTTCAATAACCTTTCGACACTAGATACGCCTTAAAAATGCCGTCATTTAGGAACATATAAGATTGTTCTGTGAAAAATTATTAGAATGCTCATTTATCACAGACCAAGAGCTGATTGTTTTTGCGCTGTTCGGAAGAAGTGGAAATCTGTAAACTTTAGGTGAGTATGGTCTCTAGTACTAAATGGAATAAACATCTCGACGCAGGTCAAACAACACTAGTCAAGTTGTCAGACGCACCACGCCTCCTACCCTGATGCTCTATAAATTGTTCATTCTTGTTTGACTGCTATTCAATTCATCTAATTCCGAGCAATACTTTTCTGATTTATACCGTTTCGTTGTTTGATAAATTATACAAAATCCCTTCTCTATCCTATCATACACAGACCATCGAGAGATGAAGACTGGCATTTTGGGTGATAGTTTGTTTCATCATACTTCCAAAAATTCTCAATGGACTTTTTTATGCATTATTATTTACCATCTTTCGATACTAATCGCTTTAGAAAAGTAGTCCCCTGTTGATGAACAGGGATGAACCAAGAAAAATTACGTACTTTAAGTAATATTTTTGCGAATGCCAGTTTTCGGATGTGTCTGTTTATAGAATAGTACATAATATTGTATGTAATTTATTTTCAATAACTTTGATATTCATACAGTAGGAAGTTTCCAAACAAACTTTTAATTCTCACCATCCCGTCCATAGACTTTAAAACAAGCCAACTTACTACTGTTTCTCCATAATGATGGTATAATAGTGAAGTCTACTATAGACACCATCGCCATCATGATGATCCCCGCCAGGGTCGAGCGAGGGATGAAGAAGAACGCCTCCGACAAATACGTTACTGATAGTAACACGAGGGACGCTGGAAATATAGAAAAAAAAAGTTATAATATATTACTTCATATAAAAATAATAGATGAGTACAACTAGTGCCATCTAGTATTAAGCATGTAAGTCGTCTCTAGTTCTTTGATCTCGGTCGATTTAAATAAAGTAAGTTACAAGTCAATTAATCAGTAGGAAGTTTTATAAATATAAAATAAACTTCTATAGAGACATAAAAAGACACTGTTACTTATTACTATGAAAAATCTGACGGTTTATAATGAGGATGTGTCACATAAACCGGCTGACCTTTAAACAGTGAGCCGGCCGGTGTCATGACCCCGCTGGCGTGGTTGAGGGCGGTCCGTGTGAAGGAACCCGTGGCCGGCATACACTGAGCGAACGACGACACTATGTTACACATACCCACAGCTAGCATCTCCTGAGTAGCGTCCACTGAGGCTGTACCCGCTGAGATATAGATATATATGTTATAACTCCACGAAGAAATACAAAACAATATTACTTAATACGTACATATATATTTTGTTATTATTTTCCGTAATGCATGGACTTGACAAAAAGTCTGCACCCATAAAATAATTGAAGTGTCGCTAAGGAATTAAATAAATACGTATAGAAATTTAAACCCAATAAATTACATTACGAAAGGAGATCATTCAGGCTTCATACATTTTTGGGAGTTTTTTGAAAGTGCCGGCCAACAAAAAAAAATGGTACATATTTGTAGAACTAACCATTTGGAACAATAGTTAATATGGCGCAAAAGTTGTAGGATCCAAGATATACAGGGTGACTGGTGAATTACTATCAATATTTGAGGACGTGGTATTTGACGATCATATATGACAAAATAAAAATTAATATAACATAAATATTAATAAACTTCTAAGTAAAGTTAACCAAAAGTTATGTAATTAATTACGCATCGTATGAACACCCTACAGATTAGGTATACACACACACACACACACACTCGCGCGCGGCGGAATGTTGTTGTATCAGCACGACGCCGCACGCGTCCACACATGGAACTCTTGGAACGTGTACACACTTTATTTATTAATACGGAAATTTGGTCAAAAATTAAGTACCTATTTTTTTTATATAATTCGAATGAGAATCATGTACCGAGTATGCTCCTTAAAAAAAGAAGTTTTTCAAGTTTCAAGATTCATCATTTTGGTACTTTATTTTTTTCTGAAAGTGCCAGGAAACATAAAATAATGATTGATATTGCTAGAGTTAAGCTTCTCAAGCAAATCATTATAGCCATAATCTGTTAGAAACCTGTCGTTTTTATGTAATACTAGCGAACCCGACAGACGTTGTTCCGCCAAGTATCTGAACGCATGCAACACATTTCTTGATGATTTTATTATTTGTCTAACCTAATATGTATATCGGGGTGCCATTTTTATATATTAAAAAAATGGGCCTAGAAGCACTTTTAACTGATTTTGTACCATTTCGGGTCGGATTTGATCATATGACGCGAGAGCAAGTGGCGCAGAGCATGTACATAACCGCATGACTCCAGATTTTCTATAGCATCTCTAAAACCACGGTCTGATATAAAAATGTCACCAGGCCGGTAAAACCAGTGAAATACATTATTCAACAACAACACATTTCTTGCATGCGTTCAGATACTTGGCGGAACAACGTGTGTCGGGTTCGCTAGTATTACATAAAAATGACAGGTTTCTAACAGATTATGGCTATAATGATTTGCTTGAGAAGCTTAACTCTAGCAATATCAATCATTATTTTATGTTTCCTGGCACTTTCAGGAAAAAATAAAGTACCAAAATGATGAATCTTGAAACTTGAATAACTTCTATATCTTGGATCCTACAACTTTTGCGCCATATTAACTATTGTTCCAAATGGTTAGTTCTACAAATATGTACCATTTTTTTTGTTGGCCGGCACTTTTAAAAAAGGCCCAAAAAGAATGATCTCCTTTAGCATAAATAATATTCACAAGTAGATAAGAATGAGATGTTCGAAGATTGCAAAACATTTCATAGTTATTTAATCCTACAAACACTTTGATGATTTTGTTATAATTTTTTCTTAGGAAATTCATTGAAATCAAGGCATAAGGGGAAAATGTAGCTAAGACATACTCACCGAAGGCTTTAGCAATCGCGATACTTTCAAGTATCGCTACCAGCGGCATCACGAAACCTTCAGGTCCGAATACTTCCAACATCTTCTCAAAACCAATAGTATTGTTATTTACTACAGTCTGGAATGGAGGTAGACCGAATTTAGGCAAACCACCTTCTATTTTACCTGAAATCATATTGTCAATATTCTGTAGTATACATATTTAACTAGTATCTACCTGCAACTGCATCCATTTACATTTTAAAATAGGATTTGCTAAAAACATATAAATATTTACTACATGATAACGCCATCTATAGTCTGTCTGATGTGACTTTAAATAAAATATGACTCTTGTCTTGATCTGGGAACTAAAGGGAATTCCGGTTCGAACATTAAACTCTCCACTACATTATAAGAAAGTTTTATTAAAATCCATTCAGCAGTAGATTAATGGTAATATATATCTTTATAGATATAATTCTTCTGTGACTGTGTATGTTACTGAACTTTTCTCAAACGACTGGACCGATTTTGATGAATTTTTTTGAGTATGTTCAAGGGGATCTGGGAATGGTTTAGATTCACAATTTTGTCCGCTGGACAATGTTTTTTTAATTAGTTTTTAATTTATTAGTAGTTGTTGATACAAACGTTTTTTTGACATTAGATTTGACAAATGACTAATATGTCAATCATTCTGTCGCACTTCAAAACACGGAGATGTATGGCTTTAACAGGTAAACTCCAAAAATATAAATAAAAAAACGTAACGGATATTTCTTGATTATAGGGCGATACGAAGTTCGCCGGGTCTTCTAGTATTATATGTACATGAATCTTACCGGTGAGTTTGAAGGGCGTCATACCGTAGATGTAAAACAGGTACGCCACGGCCGTAGCCGCGAACACTACTACGGCGTTGCGAGCGCGGACAGAGTACACGCGACATGTGACGTAACACGAGTGGGGGGAGGAGGGGGAGGGGGAGCAGCACTGTGGACGAGAAACGACCTTATTATAAAGATAGTAAGGTTCAATATTATAATTATATATTATAATTGTTCCATTCTTAATTCAAAATTGTTTTTAGAATATATTTTAAGTGGATGCCATCAATATATATTTAATGACGTAATGACGAACATTGATATTATTCGGTAGCACTTTTGTTAACAACAGTAGAAAATAATGGGAAGCAATAGTATGTATATTAGAAGTTCTTATTTAACCCATCCAAAATATTGTCTTTTTTTAGTACTTTTAAAAATTATAAGAGACTTAAAAACAACTACTGTCTAAAATTGCCAAATTGTAAGAAAATACGTACAAAAGAAAATTTTGACTCAATGTGAAATTACTATTACTAATAATTATATCACTCAATGTGAAAACTGTGAATACGTACTCACTTTAAGAAGAAACAGAGATATGATGGTGATAACTCCTAGCAAGGTGTCCCACAACTGAACGGATTTTATGTTCGAGAAAAAATTTATAACAGCCTTTATGAACGTGCCACCAGAACTACCTGGAAAATTAATAAAAAACAACATTAGGTACTTATTATACATATATGAGTTATTAAAGCTTTTCTTAATGTTACAAAAAAAATCAAAAACGTTTTTATAATACTTGAATTTAATTTAAATGTATGATGTATTACAGAATAAATAATAGTTTAAAAAAACTAAAAAAAAAAACACGGTTTTATAGCAAATCGAACTAAAAACTTAAAAATAATTTTTAATAACAAAGATTTTATATTACCGTAACAGAAGGTTAAACAATCAATCATAGTTGATTACCCCAAAATAAAATAATAATAAAAATTAAGTTACAAACAGAATTATTACATTCAGAGTGATTAAGCGTGGGGTGCATTTTACTACCTTTCCACAACTCTTCTTTCATAGATAGTTGCCAATAGAATGTTTGTATAACCTTTAATATGTTAAGCACAAAGTACAAAACATATAAGTGTGTTAAAAATTGTATATGCACTCACCGGTTGTATTAAACAATGATTTTAATTGTGAAGCTGATATTTGCATGGCAGCGGCCGTTGTGAAGCCGCTTATTACTGGCTTTGATATGAAGTCTAAGAGGAAACCTGGAACATGAGAATATGTATTGATTAGATTCACTTAATATTCCTTATCTTCTATAAAATATGTATCGGATTTATTACAAATTCCTTGTTTTTATAGACAGAGACGCCAGCCTCGCTGACGTTACAAACGTCACTTCTTTCAGTTTTTGCGGACGTTACCTAAATATGCTTGGGTAATATATTATCTTATTATTCACAGGCGGAAGTATATTTATTTTATTATATCACATGCTACGAAACTTTTCGCTACTGACACGACGTGCTTTCTTTAATTTAATCGTTAGGTTATCAACTATAGTGAAGAAATGAACCAGAAAACAGTGAAATCATTACAAAACATTAATTACTTTAAAGATCTAATTATATTTTTTATAGTTCTTAACTCCTCAAACGAAACGTAACTTTGGAAACAATCAATCTATCACCAAGCCAAGTTTCCAGTGAAAGTAGAATATTCAACTACATTTTGAAGTCATACATAAATACAAAATTTACAAATTGCTGAAAACAACCACACATGTACCTAATATCGATTTGCTTTATCGCCTACAATACAATAATTTCTACTCCGAATTTGAAGAAAACAAATTTAAGTAACAAGTAAATGTACCTATTTAGTGAATATTCCACATCAGAGTGGAAGCATTGAGTAAACTACGTGATTAAAATCGAGGAGAAATACTCCCCACCAGATTAATGTTTCAATATTTAGTACACAATAACTAATTATGCGTAAACACCGGTGAAGTCACATATCCCACGAATTACCTAGTATGTTAATAGGTTGGAACAAAACCTTGCGTCCATATACCTCCAAGATAACGTTTATTCCCTATATAGATTGATGGATATTCTTTGTGTACCTACATTAACATACCTAATTGTAAAACACCAAGTAGTAATATAACACAGCCAGTCAAAAGGGATGCCAAGTACGCAAAATCTTCAGATTGTGCTACGTACTTGGTCAATAACGCTGCCAATATGGCCGTCGGACCCACGGTCACTTGCTTACAGCTGCCGAATATAGCGTACATGATGCCGGGGAATATACTAGAGTATAGGCCCACCTGGAATTAAACAAATAGACAACTATAATTTTCATACATTTAAGAAATACCTTATTGCGAACTAAATACATGGAAAATTGGGAGAACTTCAACAATGGCAAAAAACATAACAAGATTATTTCATACGAAAATTTCTCTGCAAGTTTTATTTTCACTGTTCTATAAACTTAGGCATTATATACATTGGAAAGCATTGATTTGTGTTTTTAATGCATTTAATGATGTCGCTTAATGATGTATCATTAAAGTCTGTTTTCTAACCTGTGGTGGAAGCCCTGCTACGATGGCGTACGCTATCCCTTGTGGTATTGACGTTAGACCCACTGTTATACCTGAAAATCAGAGTTTAAACACTATACATACACTGCCTGACTAGATAATAAATTTTCTTATAGATATAATTGGGGTGATTCCGGGATGTATGGCCATAAGTAGAGAACAACAAAAAAGAAAGCAACAGAATAATTCCTGAGCTGTTGGTTAAGTGTTACTAGTAAAAGTTTACTTTGTTTTGTGACGTACGTATACATAACACCAAAAGATGCATGTACGAGTACATTTTTTAATAAGAAGAATGGAAAAGTAAGCAAATTTTTTATTATTTGTTATTATTGTAAAAATATTTAAAGTTTTTTTGTTTTAGGTAATCGTGATATAAGTTTTCTAAAATAGTCTTTATTTTTAGTTCAGTTTCAAAGTATACGAGTTAAATATTTTCTTAACCTCGTAATTAGTCTCATTTTGTTACGAATTCTTTATTTTTTTGGTGTGGCCATCTCTGCTAAACGAAAAAGAGAGATGGCCAATGTTAGTCGGTGTATGATAGCCATATGGCCATGTGGCCATCTTATACCGGGTACAGAAACTGTATCCTATTGTATAATAAACTGGTTTTCGTATTTGTCTTAAATGCTTATAAATACAAGTTAAAGTTAACAGTTGTAAAAGGGTATAGGAGAGAAGATTTATTAAAAATAGCTATAAATGCTGTAGAAAATATTGAATCTTCTTATCGAGATATTTCAGTTATATTGCCGTAATTTCATATCGATTTATATATAACTTTAGGAGGAAAATATTATTGCAAGTACAATATTATGATTATAAACATATAATATATATATTCTGGAATATATTACGATGACGTCACTATATATTTTTATTATCAGTGACGTATTTATCAATATACCTACAGATGAAATTCCGCCGATGTTAACGTGTATTATGTTACGAGCGATAATCTTATAACATATATATATTTATAGTACTTGATATGTTTAAATCCAGCGTTTATCTTCAGATAACGTGTGTGTTTATTTATATTTTTTATTCATCTCACGGTTTGATAAAGGGTACTCTATATATTACATCATTTTACTTCAACGTTACAATCCATTTATCTGTCAGTTTAAATTAAAACCTTGTTTGATGATCTGCGACGGAACCATTCGTGTTTTGATGAATTAAAAAATATTAATTTCAACACGCACTTATGATGGACTGATGATGTACTCTGGACTCTAGGTTTTAGAGAGACCTAATATACAATACTTTAAATGTTATCCCGTGCATCTAATTACCCTTAAATTTCACGTTATATGAAAGAGATAGTGTCAAATGATTTACGAAAACCTCATTAGTTAAGCATTGCCTGCTTGTTCAGGTTTAATGTTTCATACAAAATAAAAACTTCATATTCGTAGAATACTTTTAAATTAATGGTTATTACTTTTGAGACAGTATTGAATTTTAAGGAACTTGATTTAAATGGTGTGAGCCGACCCTTAGATCTCAATGGCTAAGTCAAAATAGGAAGTTTATGTTTTTGGATCATGTGTATGTATGTGTCTACTGGTGACTGGGAATCAGGTAAACTAATCTCGATAAACAGCAGAGCGTTAGATTTATTGTAGAAATAATTGATTTCCAAAGAAGTTTAGTTTAAAATCATTTCGTGAAAATTAACGTCAAATAAATTTGTGTAAATAATTAAAGTAGTATAATGTTATGAATTATAAAATTATCTACAATTCATTAATATTGAAAATAAACATAAGTAAAGCAACTGATAAACAAACAAACTAGTATATTATAATATACAGGGTGACTGGTGAATTACTATCGATATTTGAGGACGTGATATTTGACGATCATATATGACAAAATAAAAATTAATATAACATAAATATTAATAAACTTCTAAGTAAAGTTAACCAAAAGTTATGTAATTAATTACGCATCGTATGAACACCCTACAGATTAGGTATACACACACACACACACATACGCGCGCGGCGGCGTGTTGTTGTATCAGCACGCCGCCGCACGCGTTCACACTTGGAACGTGTACACACTTTATTTATTTATACGGAAATTTGGTCAAAAATTAAGTACCTATTTTTTTTACATAATTCGAATAAGAATCATGTATCGAGTATGCTCCTTAAATATTGATAGTAATTCACCAGTCACCCTGTATATGTATGTATATTATATTGACTGACTGCACCCACTGTATGTTTCCAATCTTATACATTGCTTTAACATAATACGAATATTTAAGACACGTTTATGACTATAGTCTTAAAGTACTGTTTGTTCACTCTAATCGTATTACCAAACTTGCTCTGAATGCATATGGGTTAAGCTTTACTTATGAATAACAAAGATTTACTTGTTCTTAGGATCTTAACAGATGATAGCATTTATTTTAAAAGTGAACAACAAAAAAATACTATAGCTATAAATAGATTTTGAAAAACTTCTAGACTTATTTCCTTGACAATTTGAACTGCACTTCACTCACCAGCGATGGCATCACGAAACAACTTCTCCAGATTGTACTGAGGCAGCCAAATAGTGATAGGAACCCTTCGTCTCCATGAATCCACGCTACACATCTTACTGGCCGTACGGCGCCACTTACTACGAGGAGGGCAGCCTGCGAGTAATATATACGTAAATAATAATAATTAAGCGATTACCTTCTTATACAAATACAATCTTCATTCATTAATATAGATTTTTTCCTTATTTCACTAGTATCACAATGTTCTATTTCAAGTAAGGTTGTTATAGAAAATGTACGATAATAAGCACACTATAAAAACTAGCAACTATTTATCATAATACTATGATAGTAACAATAATAAAACATTAAAGACACATTAATCACTATACTGATCTAATTGGGCATATTACCACAATCAAATGATCATTACCAATGAGACAGGTCATTATAATCGGATCACACACATCGAACTCAGTTCACAGGAGTTCCACCGCCGACTGTCAGAAACATCGTCACAGGTACTTAATATAACGTTTTGTAATACTAGTAGTGCAAGCACTGCGTAAACAGACGCGACACTTAAGGTTGTCACTACTAGCCGGATAAGAGCCTCGCTGACAACCCTAATAGAATATATAGTGATAAAGATATAATTATCTTTGCGAAATATAAGTTTTTATTGATATTTCAAATTATTATCTGTTGCATTACTTGAACTTTTAATATATTCATAGCTTGAGTCGCAATCGTCCGTAATTTCCTGTGTCGCAATAACCAGAACCATAAAACTAATATTCTTAGAAGTAAACAACTTAACATTCACACTATTGAGATTCATACAAAATGTCGTACATAGAAACAGGAAAATAGTTCATTTATCTGATACCATTCCTTATTATCTAGATTTATCTAAAGTGCTGAACTTTTTTTAAAAAAACCGAGGTGGTATATTGGCTTACGACTAATTTGATATGCTAGGGGTGTCACTTGGTGGTTTCCGACCTTTTAAACACCTGCTTACTACTCTTTTGAAGAGTCCCATATCCCTTGGATAAACCTTAGCAGAAAGTTTATTAGATAGCACCTATCTTTGCAGGAGGAATTAGCTCTAAAACCGCATTGTGCCTGACTATTGTTGATCCATTCTCATTCCTTAATTAAAACGAGGAAGACAAAAACTAGCATTTGTCAAAATATTAATTAATAGTTCTACATATAAAGACCATGGAACACACGGGGAGTTTTTTAAACGGAGACAAAAATTACAAGTTGGTATGCGAATGTACCACCGTGGAAATAAGAGCAGTACTCCACGTCTGATCAGACTTTTTCCTTGTACAGCCATAATATCCACCACGTGGTGTAGAAGAAGTTCTCATGACCAACTTGGATTTGTTAGGTAACTGACTCCGGGATTACAAGATACTAGAAACTTGAATACCAGGGATCGAAATAATCTTTGAGATAATTAAGAGAATTTCTTTAATGAACCTACAAACATGCTGGGTTAAACTGTATCCAGTTATACTGACCAGTGACCACAATCAAGCACAAGATAGTTGCAAATTTTTTACGCAAAGTAGCGTGGGTTATCAGCTACCCGCACAATATTTTACTATCGTCCGCATAATAATGAAATTACCAATAGACTACATATCATAGCTATGTTAGATAAGCCATGTAGGACGTAGAAATGAGCCTACTACTGTTTAAGTACTCTTTTGAAGCAACTACCATCAAAAAACACCTACAAACGTCATCTTGAAGGAAGGCTAGCGATCCTTCCAAAATCCCCCAGGCAATCTGTCAGAAAGTCGTTAGATACTACCAATTCTAGACCCGATTAAAGACTGCCAAAACCTTACCGTAGTAGAGACGATTACACAATATTTCCCAAAGTAGCTTTGATCACAGTTTTTTCTGGCTTCCCTACACAACGAATTGAACCAGAACCGTACTTGTTTTGCTACATATAAAAGAGGGATTTTGAAATAAATTGTTCCATATCAACTATAATCGTCTTAGCCACAGCGACCACGCAAGGTTAATTTAACGTATTAATTAGATAATACTACTCTAATAAGTATTGGCAAATATCTATTGAAACAATAGTATATTATAAAAAATTAAGAAATATTATAGTAATAACAAATAAATTTTCATACCATTTCATTATTATCCCATCTCTTATCTCATAGTATATATTTAATCTATTAAAGCTATCTTTATCTCAAGATTTATCTTCTGAAGACTTACATTTGAGTTGTCATATTCACCACACAAATCCACTTACAGTTATATCTTAAGTATTATAAACTGTAAACAAACACTAACTTTCTTCATAGTCTTATCACCATGGAAATTCATTTATGGTTTATTTAGATATAAAATTAAATAAATATTCTTAAAGGTTAAATGAATGTTAGTTTATATATGAAAATGTTGAATGTAAATACAAAGATTTTAATTATCGCTAAGTGACAAGATCATCAGCAAAATTCCTTATATTACTGGGACATAAATACGTGAAAAATATATTTAAGTTGTGAAAAGTAGCATTTTAAATGTCTTTATTGAATTTTCATACAATTTTATCTAGTTGGTTGCAATCATTCAAACCATTTACAAGTTAACTAGTTTACATCTATAATTAATTCACCGACTGCAACATATATACTTATAGTTTATAGGACTAGATAGATATAGATTTATATAGATTTTAAATTAAATAAAATAAAAAGATTATATTATAATCCTAACAAAAAAATACCAAAAACTCACAGTCTTCGGAATCTATGGAAGGTATATGAAGATTTGTTATATATAAACATTTTTCCATTAAAATGTAAAGAAACTTGCAACAACTATCAATATCTATATTTTAAGTACTTATAAAATTATTCAGTGCATTTCCTTATTATAGAAATTATCTATAAGTATGCAACTATGAAGTTGTTAAGCTACAGACATCACAACAATGTAATTAACTAAGAAAACAAGAATAAGAGGATAAAATTAAATTATTATAAACAATTTTTGGAACAAATATTTGAAATTATTATTTTTTTGTCCACATTAAGCTCCATATTTAATGTAAAACAATTGAAAAATAATAAAAAATATATCAAAAAAGACAGTACAAAGCAATGAATGTCAAGAAACAACTAAGCAATCATAGTAATAAAACTTTTTTAAAATCAATATGGTACAAAGTACCTAACCAATATAAAGTGGGTACTAGACACATTTTATATATAGATAATAATTAACATAATAATTGATTTATTTATTTATCTGAACTTTACATTATTGATAAGACATAACAGTGTTAACCAATAGAAAAGAACATAATATGAATATGTTGTACAGAATAGGAAGCTAAACTAGCGCCATAATAAAATAATATCGTTTCAAAGCTCATTTGACTACAAGTGTATGATATATAAAATAACTCACAATTTATTCTTAAATAAAAGTAATATATCCACACAACTTTTTGTCATATAAAACAGATAACAACTCCAAAATTAGAGAGTATTGTGTAATATAAACTTAACATTGGTGGTTATGAGGGAACACAGAAATTTTTTATTGTATAATTTTAATGTAGGTATGACATAATTCGCACAGCTTAGTCCGCCAATGTCATATGTAATTATAAAGGAATACAATAAGTTGAGTCCGAAAACAAGTGCACTTACCCAATAAAGGCTGCCGCGGATCGTCAGAATCCATAGTCACTCTTATATTTATTATAATAAATTAGATATAAATTTGTCTGGCATATTTTATAGAAGTGTACTACCTCTTTAATTATATCTATTCCTTTTGTTATTGTTTACATTTAAACTAGTGATAATAATGACATTTGACGTTCAATTTGAAGTTGACAAGTGAACAGTTTCGTTTCACGCAGGTTATAAACATTTAAGCTTAATTTGAAAAAATGCGATTTTATTCTTTTTTAACATATTATACGAGTAACATTGGTAGTTTCAATTTGTAATTCAGTTTTTTATTTTATTGCGGCTGGATAGGGATTGACTTTTCATCAGTAAGATTTCATTTTTTTGGAAAAAAATAAATAATAAAGTGACAAGTTTATGTATTTGTGAAATATTTTTAACATATTTTTACTTTTTATTTTACTTTATTTTTATTATATTTTTTATTTCTATAATAAATCTGTCAAGAACATTTTAATATTGAGAGGTGTATAAATATATTTTTTAAAACGAGGTACATCGAATTTTTTCCAACAAATAAAAACCTTGAGATTGGCAAAATATTCCGTGATTCCAGTACGATTGAAAAACCACGGGATTATGAAAAGCTATATTAATCATAACATATATTAATGAGTAATATTTTTAATGTACGTGTTAGCAAGTCTTAAGTGGGGCGAGACGATACTCGAACTTTTACTGATAACCCTAATGTCTACACTGTAGTGGTTTGAATCGGTTTAACACTGATTAGATCCAACTAATAATTTCTCTCAATAGACGGATATTGTAAACAAAATTATTGGTTTTATAACATACATTTTATGAACACATATTTATATATTATTTTTATTAATTACCTAACGGATAATTTAGGTCTTATCTTCCTTAAAATCTAGATGACGATAAGCCTTTAAGCTCACACTGAATTTTAAGTATATTTTTCATCCAAAATGTGCTTAAAAATGATCTTTAAATCACGCCTGTTACATATGTGTATCGTCACAGTAATTAGGTGCTTATCTTTTTAGTATTTTGTTTTGTTAGTGCAGTTTTTTTCTTGTTAATAAAATTATATTGCATAACGGCGATACCTGATAACTCTCTGGAGCAGTTTTTTCCTGTTAATACCACAACGATTTATGGACTAATATGTTATTGTTTATGTTTTTTTATGCGAAAGGGTGCAATCGAGCAGAAAGCTGACCTGATGGTGGTAATAACGTCGCCCATGGACAACCGCTACGTAGATTTGCAGATGTATTGTATATGCCGCCCTTGATTGGAAAAAATGAGGAGTAAAGGTGGGAAAAGAAGGGAAAAGTAAAGAGCATTCGGCTCTCTCAGTCATCTGACGAAACGTAGCCATTAAAGGCTACTTTATGCCGATCCTGTGTGAATATTAATAAAAATATATTAAGACATAAATTTAAGTAAAACAGGATGACAACAGTAACATATTGTTATATAAGACTATCATTCCTATCAGTTACTTACAAGTAGCAACGCGTCCTCAATACTGCTTGTATTATGTATATATACATATATGTATATAAATAAAATAATGATAGACATGATGAAAAAAATTTAATAATTTAGTAGTAGACGTTTTTTTTCTTCGGTTCTCAAGTAATAATAAAACAATTGTATATGAATTACGATGCCATGTTCATATAAAGGGTCTATTAGTCAACAACAGTGACTACAAATAGAATGTAGAGAAGTCAATACTCAATACATTAGTTTTAAAGAATACAATAAAGCTGCATATTTTAAACCAAGTGTAAGGAACATTATTTTAATTATCTAGGTATATAAAAAATTTATCTTAGAATTGCTAAAAAATGAGTGTTCAAAATTTAAATATAAAAATATTTCTATACTAAGAAATTAAATAAATTGCTGTCATATTAGATTGTTTAATATAAAATGCTTCAATATTATATTAGTACGTGTTAAAGTGAGTAACGTACACTGTTTCACACATTGTTCAAACTCCATACAAAACGTTCACTGTCATTGCCTCAGTAACCCATTATTATAATAATGTGCGAAGCTTTACCTATACTACAAATACTGTAAACTATCTGTATGTAGTATGACGATGCCAACTCAGACTAAGGGTACTCCTTATCAATGTTTTTTTACGTAAATATATCGTGAGTGAAGTGTGAGTTTCATTTCTAAATTTTGTTTAAATTTTATACTAACAATGATTTAAATTAATCAGAATAGTTCAGAAATTTTTAATAAAGGTTTTAGGGGCAAGATTTAATATTTAGAAATACTTAAAAACTCATTCTAAGTAATTTGAACTACACGCCACTAATATCCACAATTTTATTACGATCGCAATACTTGGCGAGTTGTCGAGACAGCTTTATAATATTCGCCTTACAACAAGTTCTCACCGTCACACTGCACACGCCGCGTTGGTAGTTTGATACAGAAACCTTCATTGATCCTGTCATAATCGAAGTTTCTAGAATACAAAACTGTAAGTCTGTCTGTCTGTAGTGTCACGATAAAACATGTGGTAACGAACGGTATAATGTAAAATTGGTTTGTATTGCATCATTTGGTTTGCAGTTTGATTAAATGTATAGGCGTGAGGTGGCTATTAAGTTTTAAAGAGAATATGTATTAATATATTCCTGTACTAGCTTTCCGCCCGCAGCTTCGCCCGCGTTAAGTTCGGTTATATCGCGATTCCAAGAGAATTTTTCAAAAGTCTGGAATAAAAACTATCCTATTTTCTTTCTCAATGTGAAATCTATCTCTTTAGCAAATTCCATTAAAATCAGTTCAGTGGTTTAGGCGTGAAAGCGTAAAAGACAGACAGACAGAGTTACTTTCGCATTTATAATATTAGTAGTGATTATTCAAAATAATTATAATTTGTTATGAATAAAATAATACGTCAGCATTAGAATTAAAATAATATTTGTTTTTATATGTGATAGTAGAAGTACCTAGTCATAGTTTTTTACGATATATTTTGCCATCAATTAGAGAAAGCTCAGGTCACAATTCGTATAGGAACTAAAAGAACAAAAGTATAAAAAAAAATATAACGCAAAATATTTCTAAACCCACGGAAAATATAGAAAAATTTATAAGAAAAAAGTGAAGAATTGAAATATGTATTATATAAAGTTAGTGCTACATTGATTAATATAAATATACGTATATAACTTGGTTATTTTTAAATTAAAAAGCATTTTGTTCTTTGTTTTGCTCAGTTTACAAACTTAATTGTATTTTTCATACTTCACTCACAATGTGTTTGTGTAAAAAACGGTCATAATACATATTGTATCGGTATGCAGTTTCATAAATCGATGTCAGGAAACTGTAATAAAGATAACTTTATTAATAGTATAATATAAATTATAAGGATAAAGCTCTCACACAAAAAAGACCTTGTCCCATACAACAAGTGACAAACAACGACAGAAAAACAAGGAGCTGTAAACTAAAGCGGAGGAAACTAGAAAAACATGGAATATATAACAAATAAATAAATACGTCATATAAGATACTAGCTTTCCGCCCACGGCTTCGCCCGCGTGGAGTTCGATTATATCGCGTTTCCAAGAGAACCTTTCAAAAGTCTGGGATAAAAACTATCCTATATTCTTTCTCAAGGTCAACTCTATCTCTGTACCAAATTTCACTAAAATCTGTTCAGTGGTTTAGGCGTGAAAGCGTAACAGACAGACAGAGCTACTGTCGAATTTATAATATTGGTAGGGATAATACATATGTGATATCTAGTTCAGACTTCAGGAGAACCTGCAAGTCAGTGCTTGTATGTTCCTCTATATAGCTATAGTATCTTTTATTGGGGAAGTTTTCTATTGAGTGATGACGTTTCTATGAACAAACAAATAACATAATAATATTAAAGCATATATTTTCTTAGTATATTTTCGCTGCCTCAGACTGAATGATGCAAGTCGTCTTATGCAAGTCTCTAACACTGTTTCGTCACTGTCTCGTCTATAGCGACTGTGGAGATTAGTTTAGATGTTTCACCGATACTATTAATTTATATGTTATAGGAAAATTTTAAGTTTATCATACATTGACGTCGCACTCACCTTGTGTGATACGAACACTCACTGCCGACTGTCAATGGTTCAAGGACGCGATCTTAAGTACGAAACAAATCTCAGTACATGCAATTTTAATACTATTCACATACATACAACTGTAATTATTGTTAATAGTATATCAAAATAAAGTTAAATTTTCTTGTAAATGAATGTATATATTAAAGTTTTGGTGTGGTTGCATTATTGTGACCGCGTGCAGCATATAACCGTTGGAGCGCACCCCGAGCGTTCATTGAGTGAGAGAGCATCGGCTGTCGCGTGTCTGACACCTCCTCTGTACTACTGAACTCCTGATACATTGGGACTGATATATGTGAAAAGTGAAAGTGAGGGAAATAAATAAAATTTATTTGTTGTGATTTACGAGAAAAATATATAAAGTTAACAGTAAGTATTAATTATACCTATTAAATAACTTTGATTTAAATATTATTGACACGTGTATGGAAATGAAAGAAGAAAATTTACACTCTATTTTATAAAAATAATATTAAAATTAAAAAAACAATTTAAAGCATTTCGAGAAAATACTTTGGAGAAATTCACTTTCCTAGTTAATGCATGCATTTTTTTTATAATAAAACAAATTAAATTTGTATGATCATTCAAAAGAAGCAGGAAAATAGATCCATCTTATTGATAAGGTCAATGACCTGGACACCTCTCTAGTGGTACACACGTATGAAACACACCGGTAATACAAACAAAATTATCATTAATTCATTGATGTAAGAATAGTATTCTAGAATATTATTACCGGAGATTGTGAACATAAGCCGTACCGTGACCCGAGCACTCCCGTATCAATAAGTTCATATCACGGTCCACATTTGAAAACATTCATGCAATTTCATTATTAAATAAAATTTTATTTAGTTTAATACATAAAACACGTATTGAACTGCAATTCAGTTATCAATGCCAAGTTTTATCTCCTAATAGAACGATCGGTACATATTTAGATTGTAGCTGACGAGCTATGTCATTCATAAACATATATACATATAAGTAATATGAAGATTTCTTTCTTTTCATATAATTATGTATAACATTAATTAATATCTTTATTCAGTCGGTATTGTCTCTCCGTCTCCTAAATTAAATCTTATCAGAGTACATCGACACTAAATCGTAACTGGTAAGGGTTATCTAACATTATTAGTAATTTCAAATTAAATGTTCCGTAAGAAAAAAATTCCTAAACGACTAATTAATGATTTTTTTTGTGTATAGATTTATAGGTTCTTGAAGCGTTTTATATATCAACATATGTAGTATATGTACTTTCTGAGAGTATTTAGACACTACTGACAGACGGTGAAATAAAACATCGTGAGGAAACCTGGATTTATAATTTCAAATTATAAGTTTGAAATCACCAACCCGTCTTGAGCAAGCGTGGTAATTAATGCTCAAACCTTCTCCATGTGAGAACAGGCCTTTGCTCAGCAGTGGGCTCTGATAGGCTGATGATGATGATGATGATGATGATGATGATGATGATGATATAGGTATGCGTGTGTGCGTGGTGGGCGCGGGAGCAGCCGGCCTCTGTTCAGCTCGACACCTACTGGCCGAGCCTCTAGTCTCCAGGGTGGATGTACTGGAACAATCTTCACAGCTGGGCGGCACCTGGGTCTATACGGAAAACGTGGGCTACGATGACTTCGGCCTGCCCATACACACCAGCATGTATAAGAGTTTAAGGTACATATATACATACATACATAGGTACATAGGTACAGAACAACTAGAAATAACATGTACATATTTATGACTTTTTCTGCCCGCGATTTCGTCCACGTGAAATAAATAAGTAAATTGGTTAGTGGCTGTAGTGTATACTCCTTATTTGACGAATACTTGCAACTGAGAATTTTGTAAAAATCGATCTAGCTAGACTAAACGGAATAAGCTAATTGAACTTATAACGATGTTATATTAGTAGATATATGTACATTGTATACATCAATATGCATTCATTAAGGGGTGGTTATTTTAATAATTAATATTACAAACAGACACTCCGATTTAACTAAGCAAGAATTAATTACCAATCTGAAGCTCTAGACCTTAAACCAGTATGTCTATACGAAATGTCTCCCGTTTCTCATTTAATAACCTACGTAAAATCTCTAAATCTCGAAGGTTATTGAATGAAAACTGTTAACGCTCCGTACGCAGTGTGATGCAGTAAGCTCGTATTAAGGGTATTTGTGTATTTATTATGCCCTACTTGGTGACGTCATAAGTTGATATGTCTGTTATGTAAGGAGTGAGTTAGAAACATATAAGTTATAATTAATTAATGAGCCGACTCCGTGATCCTCACCCCGCTGACACGATGTATGTTAGACATTTTAAGGAAAATAAACATTACGTATACAATATGTACATAGTTATATATCTAGTATGAGCTACCAATCATTTCTGCAACAATATCTATTATTAATATTTGACGAGTGAAACATTAGTACAATATGTACTCAACTTTCTAACAGAGATTCTTAACACTTGTATCGTTTCAGAACAAACCTGCCAAAGGAGGTGATGGGCTTCCCCGATTTTCCCATTAAAGGAAGCGAAAAATCTTATATATCGGCCAAAGAAATGCTGAACTTTCTAGATCGTTACGCCGAGAAACATGACGTCAAGAAATGTATTAAAGTTAGTATTTATATATTTTATGTATGTAATTTATATAATTGTAATATACAATGCTTGTTATTTGTATTACAGTACAAACATCATGTACAAATGATAAAACCGAAGCAGACTCCCACCGGCGAGCTCTGGGACGTCACATACAAGCATCTGACTACCGGGCTCTCCACCACCAGGGAGTATGACTACGTGTTCGTGTGTAACGGACACTACAACACGCCATTCATACCTAATATACCAGGACTTAAGAACTTTGAAGGTAATTCATATTAAACATTCAATCTCTCTCTTTCTCTCTTATACTTCTTTCTTATATTCTCTCTCTTTCTATCAAAGGTGAAGTAATGCACAGCCACGACTATCGCGTCCCCGATGTATTCAAAGACAAGAACGTTCTGGTGATCGGAGCGGGTCCGTCTGGACTAGACATCGCGCTAGAGATAACCAGCGTTTGTAGCAAAGTGATACTCAGCCACCATATCAAGGACCAGCTGAAGTCCACCTTCCCCAGCAACTTGGAACAGAAGCCGGATGTCGTCCGGATCGAAGGGAACGCTGCTGTGTTCCAAGATGGTACCAGCGAACCAATGGATGTTGTTTTCCTTTGTACTGGTAAGTGTTGAAAATGTATTAAAAAAACCTGTGAAAGTACCAGGGTATCATAATCACGGAGGTGATATCCTCAGGATATTTGTACAACTTCCCATTCCTCCACGAGTCGTGTGACATCGTGGTAGAGGACAACTGCGTGGAGCCGCTGTACAAGCACGTGGTGAACATCAACCACCCCAGCATGTGCTTCATCGGCGTCCCTTACTACGTGTGCGCCTTCTCCATGTTCGACTTGCAGGTCCTTATAACCATATTATTATCAAAAAAACTACATAAATAAATACATAGTATGAGAATGTTTAGTCAATAGCTTCTTTTTGAAGTAAAACTTTTTTACACACACTTGACTTGGCAGTAAGCTGGTGAATGCGTGACTAAAGCGTTACGAAAAGTGTGATCGGGCGAGGCGAACGAAAGTAAGAGGGAGACATAAGATAGTGAAGATAGAGAGAGTATTACTGTTCGTATTATTACGGGAGAGAGCAGGTTCAATTTTTCTTATATTGAGGTGTGTTTCCTCCAGGTGCGGTATTTCGTCCAATCAATGAACGGCTCGTTCCAGCTGCCGTCCAGTGAACAGATGATGCAGCACTGGGAGATGGAGAAGAGCGAGCGACTGGCGCGAGGGTACACTAAGAGACAGGCGCACATGATGGGCCCGGACCAGGTATGTGGTGGAGGGGGAGGGGGGAATGTGACGTCACACACGAACAGAAAAGATATTGACTTACGGTTACCATTAACTAAAGAAATACTGACAGTTTCTGAGTTAGTTAAGACATTTCTATGAGAGCTTTCGTGTTATTACTTTGGGAATTTAATGTTACCGTTAATAATAAATTGATCACAATAGAAAAATAAGTATTAGGAGATGTTGGTAAAAAATTTATACTTGGTAATATTGGTTTACCGATAAAGATGAATGACCCTTATTACAAGTTTAGATCGCCACACGACAGACTTAGTGTTTAGTTTTTTATTAATTAACATTCGTAGGTAGGTACTTAATGGTATCAATGTAGGTCATGTATTAAATATTGGAATATATGTAATTTCGTGTGTGGAGTGACGAAGGAAACTTGTTGTAAAACTACAGACATCGAAGATCATAAATGTAATAAAACAGATTTAGCACTACATTTGTAAATCACTGCGGAAATTGTCCTTATTAGGACTGTACTGTTATTGAACTGGTGACAGCTGATTGATTTATTTTTAAAATATCCGATGACGTCACACACCATATAATACAATACAGGATACATACAGCCAATGTCGACGGCGTTACATTGTACTAACAACATACTTGATCCGACTACTCTCTATAATAATCTATAATGACTTCCTTGACATACGTTTTGTAAACATATAATTTCTACAAGGTATTTAGATTAAAGAAACAGACGAAGGTCGGAAATTATACAGCTTTTATTAGGTTTGCGAATGAAGCATCATAAATATATATATGAACACACCAGGGCGAGTATTACGTGTCACTGTCAGACGAGGCTGGTCTGTCACCGCTGCCTCCCGTACTGACGTCTATACACAATGACAGCAGCCTGAAGTTCCTGAGCGAGCTCGCGTCATACAGACGTGACGTGTACACTGTCATCGATGACAGGCGGTTTGAGTGTCAACGAGCACAGGATATATAGAAAACACAGGCACAGATTATATAGAAAAAAATATTTGGATGTCGGATGAATGATGATTTGCTTATACTTATGGGGTTACAATTTTTTTAACAAATTTTAATATGTTATTTTTTTTAATTTTTTAACTGTATTTTTATAATAAAATAATAGATTAATATTTCGTTGGTATAGTCAAAATCATGAATATTAATGGCTATTGCTTGATTTTTTTTTAAATTTAAATACTCATTTTTAAACCGAAGTGTTTGGTGGTAATTTTCATTATACTGACTTCGGATTAGGTAATAATGTATAATTTACACCTATATAAATAAAATGATATAATCGTATACATATGGTAGATATCAATAAAGTGTTCAGTTTAAATTTTTTTGTCATTTGGCCCTTATTGAAATATATTGCAATCTTTTTACAAAATATGAAACCGCTCATATAGTTAGTTAAAAGATGAGTTTGTTTTGTATAAGTATAACATGAAAATTGGCAATAATTGAAACAAAACTGACGAAGTCATCGCTTACAATACTTAACAACAAAATGTTATCTAAAAATATGTACAACTCATGCCAGTATCTTCCAAACTCGTAAACAATGTTAGGATGATTTGTTGATAAAGTGTTTTAAATATATATGTATGTTATCAAAATTTAATCAATTAGTATTAATGAATTGCTAAAAACTCCATGACAATGACATCGGAAAAAATTTAATGTTTAGAAGGAAGTAAGTTCAAACATTTTTGGTATCTTTAAAGGGTGAACTTTCGTGATAGTGTACATGTACCTAGGTACTGTACACAGAGCGTTTGTTTTAAATTTATCTTTTTTAATTATTTAGTTATTTTTCCTTTCCTTAAATAAATAAAATAAGTATTTAATTCAATCCTTTTAGTTTCTAATCTCACTTCGTATATAAATTCATGTTTTATGCTATGAGTTCACTCCTACGGGAATCGTTTTATTTGTTGGATGATTTATAATCTTGAGTAGGTACTGTGTGGAGAAAACACACCTGAATTTGTCGAAAAGAATAAAGGCGTTTATTAATAACAATTATTTTTTTTCTTTTGTGTTCTTTTTAAAATGAGTGACATTACTTTAACTTCTTCTTCTACCTGGCAATTTCCCAGCTATAGTCAGGGTCTGCCTTACATGTTGTGAATAGTTTTGGCTAATTGTTTTTACGACCGGCCGCTTGCTTGATATCAACCCTCTTTGGGAATGCATTAATTAGTGATGTCTTAATACTCTTAGAAAATACATTTTACTCGGAAAAATCCCATTGGTACTTGCCAGGGCCAGATCGAATCCGCGCCCTTGTGCATGAGAGGCGGGCCTTTTATGAAATTCTTGTTTTTTTTGACGTTGCTAGCTCTCGTACCATTTTAACCACTAGGCCACCACTGACTTATTTAATAAGAAAATATATTTATTCTTAAAGATTAGACTAGTATTTTTTTGTGTGCGTTTAAAATAGAGTGACATTACTTTAACGGATAAAAAAGGGAAAAAGTTTGTTTTAGGAATCCATTTTGATATCTGTAGTCTTACCTCAAGTTTGTTCCGTCATTCCACACGTAGCGTCTCCCGTTTCTCATACAAACCTCCGTCGATAATATTAAGTGCGATGATTTAAGAACACCTACGGAACCCTACTCATATATCTCACGTCAATCGTAATAGTTTATTACATTTCATTGTTTGATAACCAACAATAACAACTTGTCATTATAAATAAGGTTTTTATTCGTCAAGTCACGAACTGGGTGTGTCTTACATTTATAAGTTATTTATTACTTTGTCCAGCCTAGTATTATTAACCTTCTATTCTTTAATCAACAATCTTGGTACTTTTACTTATAATGCTAATAATTTTTCTATTAATTTTATGTAAATTTGTCTGACCAATTTTTTAGGGCTTATTTTTCAATTACTTGTACATTTTTATCAGCTTTTTAAATCGGTAATAGTAATAATAACTTTCTCTTGTAGTATTAATAGGTGCTTTAATTTCTATTGATTAATTTCCCTTTATATTTCAATTACATTTCTGTATTCTTTTAGTTGTTTGTGTAGATTCTGTTTTTCATCGAGTATCCTATATGTACATATATGTATTTTTTTTGTTGTAGCATTAGAATTTAATTAGTTTCTATTTTTTGGCATTGATTTTTATAAATAGCATGTATTTCTAATAATAATTAATACACTACAAGTCGTCGGACGTGGGTGAAGGGTTGCAACCCCATAATTTATTCAATTCAATTCAATTTTCGTAATATTTTAAAAATAAAATAACGATGACGTCATCTCATTGTTATAAGGTTATCAGATGTCACTAGTAATAATTTAAATAGATGAGATTCAATTTTCATTATTAAATAAAACACAAGACAATCAAATTATTTTATTAATAAAAATTAACAATATTAATATTCTGTGTATGTATAGATGAAGTTACCAGGAGATCATAAACAGCGAGGTCGTTACTTTACACTCACTCACCTTAGAGCGGACACGTGTGGATGCTTTGAGACGGAGCTCACGACTGAAGGGAACTGGCGATGATAGTTCAATATGAGATATAAGGCGATAACAGTCCTTGTCCGCTCTACGTCATAATACAATATATATATCGCGACTTTACTCGTTCTCATTATAATGTTTATTGTTCCAGCAACGATACTACAGCTCGTTGGCGTCCGAGGCGCGGACTAAGGACCTGCCGTCCGTCATCACGAAAATGCGAGACGAGAGCTCGATACGTTTCTTACACAAACTACAGACTTACCGTATGGACGTGTACAAGATTATAGATGACGACACTTATGAAGTCATTAGTGACGGGAAGAGGGAGGTTTACTCTTAGGACTAGTGTAGTATAGAGTAGAATAGAATAGATGATAGGTCATATCATCGACATATACTAATGGACATGCTTTAGATATGAGAATTGTGGCACTCCGAAAGAAAGATAGGAAACGAAGTTTCGGTCTATCTCTCTCAAATTATCTTATCTTATTTAAATTAAATTATCACTCTCAAAATAGTACCGTACTTAAGACGTTTGAGCCCCTTCTGGATAATTTATTATTTCCTAATGTCATATACAGCTTTACGTTTAACCTCACTATCTCTGATTTTTAGTATTAATGACGTATGAATTATACGCGAAAATTAATTATAAATTTAAATCCATGTAATAGGTATACATCTCTGAAATATTATTTTCTTTAATTTCGTAGATTTAACTCATTACTCGAATATACGAGAACGTTCTTAAATATATTTATAACCATATAAAATGTTATATACATGTATATTAATAATTATTAAAGGATCTATTGAAATACTCATAATTACCCTAACAAAAATAATTTATATATTCATTTAGAAAAAATATAATTATTTTATATTTAAAATAGATAATAATGCTATTAAATTTTGCCCATTTTTATATATTTTAAAAAAAATTATGTAAAATTAATTATAAATAATGTTTATAAATTGTATTTATAGTTTAATTATATAAATTTATATGCCGTGCTTGTCTTGAAAACTGAGCGCCAATCGTCTATGAGGAAAGAGATAGTGCTAGACCGAAAGCATAGGCCATCTCTCTCACTCTTTTCAAACTAAAAAATTAGTGCATATTATACGCGTACGGCATGTCCATTAGTATTTGTCGATGGGTCATATAGATGTTGTATCCGAGTAGCTTCTATCACGGTATGAGAACATATGTCGCCTTCTATAGTATTTATTATTATATATAATGTATGGATTTATTTATGCACAAATAAAACACTCTGTCAGCCAAAAATATTTTTATTTAAGCGTATTTATAACCTTTATATTATAGATGCTGATATATTATAACTCTTTAAATCTAGTATTATAATGTACGGCGTCCCTTAGAGACCGTTACACATTACAGACAGTTGCAAGTATTGAGTCTCCACTACTGTCATTTGTACGTACAGTACGAGCGTTAATATTCGATCTTTGTACTTACATTACACAACTGTTCATATTATAAGACAACTAACATTATATAAAAATACGACATTCTCATAACATTCTTTTAGTTTCATCAAAATTCGATTTTCATCTCATTTATAATCTTTTGAAAAGAAATATATCTATAATAATAATGTATCTATATAAAATGTGTCCTCCTACCACGTAACTTATGTCTCGAACTATATCTATACTATAAATAAACAAAGTACGACGCTACATACGGCTATGATGTTAAAACAATACGATACTATCAGAATGGAAGAAATGATCACTATGACCTATGTAGAGTACACGGAGCACGTTCTGAAACTACTGTACATGTAGCGGGAGAGACTCACATACCAGACATACGTGAAGAGAGTTTCAGATCGCACCTCCAGCATACGGACAGACTGCGACATACATACTATATATAACCGTTACCAAATATTAAAAAATGCTAAACATATAGGTACACTGTACACTGTAGACTGTAGATCATATAAAAAGCGTTTGAAACGAGAGAGAATCTATACAACCTCTTTCCTCCGACATCGCACCTTTTGGCCACTTCATACAAAACCTATCTACTCAGTACTCCCTAACCTTGGTCTCCTACATTTATCCCTGTCTTTTCAGTCCACATATATATATATATAATATAAAAATAATAAAACATCAAGACAATGTCAGTTGGAGCGCTTCACTATCGAGTATGTACAACCTTACCTTTAACACAAACTAAGAACAGTTCAAGAGGGTAGCACCATCCGTATAACGTATACACCGACCAACGAAAATAAACGAAATATAAAAACATATATAATAATATATAGAAAACAACAAACAAACATATCAGATTCATAATTTATAAAATTTAGATCTCCGTACACACGACAGTTACTGTAACTGACTACACACAGACACTGGTAGATTTAGAAAATATAAAGGACTAGCTGAAGTAATGTATTGCATAAGACAGACATACTCGAACGACCGACTATATAATATATAAGAGTATGTAGAATATAAACGTATACATATGTAAAAAAGGCATTCCTTACACCGCCACGACTATAAAAATAAATCACATATCATCACTTCATACATCTGGGCCCGCCAGGCCTGCACGGCCCGCGAGGCCCACACTATACCCTCCACCTTTCAATTCACTTATCCTACTCAGCCAACAAGGCCCATAAGGCTCACTACATCCACTTGTCTCACGAGACCCAAAGGACCCACGAGACCTAGAAGGCCCACGAGGCCCAATAGAGCCATCAGTCCCACTCCACCAAACGTAACATCAAACAAGGACACCGCTAAACATAACAAGGGTAACTTTAAAACGAATGTACCTTTAGTACGAGGACAAGCACTACACCCGCCGCGTCAGCGACCTCTACACGTCAAACTATCAGTGTGTCGGTAACGTCCGTTGTACTTGAACACCTTGTATACTCTGTACCAGACAGTGAGAGGCGGTGTGTGACGTCACTTCTTACAAACTACTGGATTCACAAGTATTAAAAAAATAATGAAGAAACTATTCTATTGCACTGGCGATGTCTCTTAAACATTTGTTTTTATATAATTTTCCTTTTCCTTTTTAATGTGATGGAACAATTTACATTTTTAATAATTATCATAAATCAAATACATTAAATACATTTTCTTCTTCGTGTCGTAAGTTAAGTACCAGGGTATCATAACATCAAGGGAGGTTCTCTATGTGAGCTTCCCATCATTCATCTTCTCCACCGGGTCCCTGCCGCTCTGGTGTCTAGTTCTCCTGCAGCGGTATGTGGGGCTCCATGGTGAGCGCTTGCTGCGTGGGGTCGTAGTGTCCCGCCAGGTAGTACACGTCGTTGTTGTCGTACACGGTGCTGTACCGGGCCGGGTCGTCCCCCAGCCGCTCCTGGTACTGTGCCAGCGGTAGAACCTCACACTTGTGAGATATAGTCTGGACGTCGTTCTCGTCGGTGTGCGGGGACTCGAACAGTCCGCCCTGGAACATATGGTTTAAGATATTTTATTGTTTCATAAAGAATATTACATATTCACTTAAATGAAACTTAAAACTAATTTACAAAACTGTTTACATAAATGTTTTTGAACGTACGAAACTGGGTTCTTACAAAATAAAAAAATATTTTACAAGTAGGTAATACAACAAAAAATAAATCAATAAATGGGTTAGTCCGTTAGACTTAAGCTGAGCTTTGCATTTGTGTGAGTGAAAGTAAAAGTAAAGTTAGACAAAAAACTTTTAGAATTCAATTTTATTAGATTTTAAATAGATACATATTACATTACATAATCACTGATTAATGTTGATTCCCAAAAGCGGGTTGATGTCAGGCAGGCGGCCGGTCGTAAAAACAAATAGCCAAAAACTATTCACAACATGTAAGGCAGACCCTGGCTATAGCTGGGAAATTGCCAGGTAGAAGAAGAAGACATATTACATTACATAAGTGGTATAAAATAAGCAAAACTTGTAAAAGTCCAGATGGAAATATCAAAATATTGAGGAAAAAAAATTGATTAATAAGAATTTAAAAAAACTATAAATTCTTATTAACCCATTAACCGCCAAAATTAAAACAGCAGTAGTATTTTTACAAAACATTTATTTTCATGTTGGCTATGGGTCAAATAAACATAAAATAAAATAATATTTTGAAAAAGAAAATCAGGCTTTTCAGGAGAAGGGTGTACACAATTGAGTACAGCGGCTTATTATAGGTGAAATTTTTCAAAACGTTGGTTTTCAAAACATAATGTTTTTACACACTTTATGCATGCCAACGAACTCTTGTTTGACAAACAACACATCGCAATGATTTTGTAACCTTTTCGGATAGTGCTCTACACTATTTTGAGCTAAACCTTGTAATGTTGCATGAACTCCCCCCATATTTTAGTAGGTATATATTTAGCTATTTTAACATAAACCAACAAATCTTCCCTGGATACTTTATGATAACCAAAAAGTATCAATATACCTATGAACCTATTCAAATCATTGGAGTCCAGTTGAAAAGTATGTCTGCTATTTTGATTAGCATATTCAATTGTATTCGTAATTAACTTCTTCATCAAACATTTATTCAAATATCTGTACGGGACTAAGTTCTCCGAGTTATTCTTTTACTGCCTCCTGTCTTTCTTGCATATCAGTTCTTTCTTCAGTCGCCGAAGATTATGTAAGGGAACATTTACGCCATACAGGCTGACATAGCTGCTTTCGCCTTTTCATTTCTTTTTCAGCCAATGATTCCTCCTATTATCGTCACTTAAAATGTTGTCCTCGTTAGCTCTAAGAAACTCAATATTGCCAGGCACATCCCGCGGCAAAGATGCGGTAACCATGTCTTCGTCGAAACCTTCCTCTTCATTTGTAAGGATGCTGAGATCTGGCTGTATAACAGTCGTAATCCCCTTCACTGTCACTCTCATCCAAAACAGCATTGACTCTGATCCTTTGTAACAGTTAGAAACGCTAGAATATTTCGAACTCATGGCAACGAAATACTAAAACAATAAGCGCAATCGTTATATGGATTCGGCCGCTGTACGCAATCGAGTACAGTTGTATTTCAAGTACGATTTCTTTGTAAATACTTGTTGTAAGATACTCTTTTATTATTGATTTTACGAATAAGGATGTTGACTACAAGAAACATAAATATATCTGAAATTTAGGTTATGTAATATAAAAAAAATAATGTATCAGCGAACTTACCTCGACAAACGATTACATCGCGAAGTTCATAGCCTTACTGTGACAGATTTTATGAATATACCCACATAAATTGTAATTTTTTTTATGCTCAAACTATCATTTTTAATTATGAGACGATAAAAACGAATATAGGTTAGTAAAGTGATTATCTACCTTCAATTGATTAGGTGTACACAATCGGGTACAGAGGCGCCAAATGGGTTAACTTGACATTGCAATTTCAACATTTCATTTTGCTATCAGTACAAAAGGTGAAGTGAGGAAGATGGGGGGCGAAGTAAAAGCAGTATAAACCGGTTCAAAACTAGAAAAGTACGTTTCATTCAAAAATTTGACATCACATCTACACTATCCGTGTGCACTCACACAAATGCAAAGCTCAGCTTAAACCAAACGCACTATATCATACTAATGCTCCGTTATATATGTTATTTTAAATGAAGGTTCTTGTTACAGTGGTCGTACTCACCGGGTACTTCAAGTCTCTGCAGCCGGCCGTCTCCTCGGGATGGTAGAACCAGTGTACTCTGACCGCCATGGCGCCCCGAGCCTGCCACAGAGCCGCGATCCGACCTATGTACGGTCGGTCGGCGCGGCCGGTGGACAAGAACACAGCCGCCTCGCCCACCTTCACACAAAACATATTACTACTTAGATTATTATGGACTCCTGGTACTTACTGTCCTAGAACACCAGTCAGCAACATGAATTTTGGATTTAAAATATATTTTAAACTTCACGGAATAACGAGGATAGTGAGTGAATACAAGTAGTTGTCATCATTGATGGGTGTGTGTGTGGGTTCAATAACATTAACATAATTTTAATGTATGTACACATTCATAAGCAAATATAATGTAAGCATTGTCATAATTTAGTCAGTATCAATAAACAGGTCGTTCTCATCACCTAAACGCGATACTCTCAAACTAGCTGGTGTCCATAAAACTATCAAATCTAAATAGCGTGTGATATCAAACCCATACAATGGGTGATATAAAACATCTCATCAGTAGTCAATGTTCTACCCACGTGTAGTATCTCCTCTCCTCGTTGTATGGCCTTGTAGAACAGTTTCCTGTGTCGAGGCCTGGTAGTCCGTCTGTATGCGGGTCCGTGCCACCTCCACAGCGCTGTCCCGGGCAGGAAGGCCGCCATCTTGCTTACACCACCACCTCCGTCCGAGGATGTAGAGGAAACTGTACGCTTCTTGACCTTCTGGTAACATAAACATCATTAATATACGTCATACATAGAATATTGCTAGGCGTGTTGGACTAATTACCTTTTTAGAAGTATCAGTGGACGTGGAAGCTGCTGAAGTCTCCGGGACCGGTTCTTCGAGACCTATCCCGCTATCTTTAAGGTTATCCTTAACTTCTTCCTTCTTGAGTGTTATTTTATTCAGGTTACTGAAGTCCAGCACCGCGTTCTTCACCAGACTCTTCTTGGACAGCACGGCCTTCTTGATAACAGTTTTCATGTTTTCTTCCGGAGACTTTTCAACCGCTATCAGTGTTGACAACCGGTCGTTAGAGTCCAAAGAATCTTCATTGGATTTGTTTGAGTCCATATAGTCGGAGGATGATTTCTGTCTGTGATCATCGCCGGACGAACTCGAGTGTTCCTTGCATATCGAGTGATGCCTCTTCTTGTGTTTCCGGTGATGTTTCTTGTGGTGCCGGCGATGCTTGCCGTGTTCCTCGCAGCACTTGTGTTTCTTCTTCTTCTTCTTTATATATTCTGAAGGGCCGTCCTCGCTCGTCAGCCGCCTCATCTTTTCCTTGCGATGTTTCTTCAACTTCTTCCTATCTCTGTGTCTATCTTCTTCCTCCTTCTGTCCGTCGTTCTGTGTTTCGTTCTTCACGTCATTGCTCGTGGAAGCCGTCGAGTGTTTTTTATCCTCCGTCACGCTTGTATTCCGCCGCCGTTTGCTCAGAGTGAACAATGTGTTTTCGTATTCTGCGAACAAAAAATGGTGTTATTTTAACATAAAATTAAATAAAACCAGTCAATGACGTGTAGCGGAGCTACTTAGATTTTAAATTAAATATTTTAAACTTTTGTATGTATTGCAAATTTAAATTTATATCCGTTTATATAGTAGTTGTTTATAGTAATAGTACATAATAACTTATATGTATAGTGATTGTTTAAAATTTATTTCATATTTTTATTTCTTGCGACGGACAAACTTCTGATTAAATTATATATAGCGAGAATGCGCGCTGTATATAAAATGATCTCCTTCCGTGTTAATAATTTTTAAGTAGCTTAACTAATTTGTTGAACATTGGTTATTTCGCTAAAAACGTAACAACTATACTTGAGCCAAACTTACCAACGATAGGATAATTAGGTTCCAAGAACCTTATATCTTCTATAGCTATCCTGCCGGAATCGCCGTCGTCGAATTCGACTGCGACAAATTTATCGTGATGAGGATCCGGGGAAGATACAGCCACTGTTCCAGGATACAGGCACCGGTACTGCTGTGACCAGTACGCGCACACACGAGTACCGGAAGGAAGCTCCCGGACACTACACGGACTCACCTCCAGGATCTGGGGGGCGAGGATAGGGTTCAGAGAGAACTGTCTCATTTATGAAGAGAAGATATACATATGTAATTCGATCATTATATTCATAATTGTAAGAGCTAAATAGGAGAATGCAGAAGCCTTTAAAATTAATGAAAAGTGAAAATAAATTATAGTTGAATGAAACTCATTAGAAAAGGAGGGGAATATTATGAAAATTAAAGGAAAAATAATTTACGGGCGATCTGAGCTCGGGAAGGGTATGGGGATGGGTATTTAAGGGTAAAAAATGGGTTTTCTTGATTTCCGACAAAACTAAAAGTCCTATGGAAAAATGTTATATGGCAAAGTTTTACTTAGTTAATAAAAGTAGTTTTACTTAGTTAATAAAAGTAGTTAGTACAAAGTTTAATTTGACGGGTGATTTTTCGATTGAAAATGAGGCTGATTTTGCGGTATTTATTCAAAATATTCTGAAAAGAATAAATATTTCTAATTAAATAAATTACAGTGCATTTGTAACATTAAAAGGCAAGTTTTCACCAAATTTCATGACAGTATATTGTTTTTTGTATGAGATAAAAATATAAAACTAAAAACTTGGTTTTTCGAATTTCCACATAAAATTTGAGGTTATGTGAAAAAAATGTTAGTACAAAAGTTTAGATCTTATTACCTACAACTTTGCCACATAATATTTTTCCGTAGGACTTGTAATTTTGCCGGAAATCAAGAAAACCCATTTTTTACCCTTAAATACCCATCCCCATACCCTTCCCGAGCTCAGATCGCCCGTAAATTATTTTTCCTTTAATTTTTATAATATTCCCCTCCTTTTCTAATGAGTTTCATTCTACTATAATTTAATTATGTTTTAAAAGCTATCGGCATTGGTCTAAAACTATATTACATCAAGTTTATTATAGAAAAAATTGAAAACCTACATGTAAATAAAGATTCTAATTAACTTTCGTTAAGAATTATAAATATCCTTGTTCTTGGGACTATGTTTTAACTATATATGTATATGTCAGTACTCACAGCATCTCTCAGCGTCTCCTCCCTGGACAGTATGTGCGGCTTGTTCCCTCTCTCTCCGTCTAATGTTATCGCGTACACGTCAGGCGCCTGTACAGCGCTCAGCTTGCCCGCGTAGAACAGTCCCCCCCTCGCCGTCAACACTCGCGGCGACGTGTCTATTTTTTCTTCTGTCAGAGTACATTTGGATATCTTCGCCTGAGTCGACGGCTCGTGCTGTGTCTGCTCCTCTCCTCTCTCTTTCGACTTGGTGCTCTTCCGTCTCTTTCTCGCGCGTCTTCTCTCCTTGTCACTGTCGCTGGAGGCGCTCGCTCTCCGCAGCGCTAGTTCTATCTCGGACATGTCGTCTCTGGAGTGTTTCCTCGCCAGTCGGTCCACCTTCTCCCTGTTCTTCTGCCTCACCTCGTTCAGACTCTCCATAGAGGAGCTCGCGGACCTGTTGAGTCCCCACTCGTTCTCGTCTTCCTCGGAGTACATCTTGACCACCGGCTCCGCTTTTAGTTTCGGCCGCACCTTACTGGTCCTGCTCCCGTCTTCTCTCGAGGGTTCGCCCTTCGAGTACAGTATGTTCCCTTTGAGTTTTCCCTTCGCCAGTAGGTAACCGACGAGAGTGTTCTTCGATTTAGGTTTCTTGGCTACTATGGTTTCCGTGGAGTCGGGACTGGAGACCTTCCTCGGTCTTCCTACTTTACGTTTCTTGGATGATCCTCTGTCTGAGTCTGGTGACAGTGCTGGACTCGCGCTGAGTTGTATGCCGGGTGCGGGCGCGGCCAGCGGCGGTAGTGGCGGCGTGAGAGCGTCCAGCTGAGCTCGCTTCTCATCACACTGCCGCTGCAGGTCCTGTAGTCGTTCCCTCATATCTTTCTCCATGGCGTTCACCAGCGCCTGCGCGGACGGGACGCTCGACGTGTGTGAACAGTTCGCCACCCCACAGGAGCACGCCGTCACTCTTCGCAGACTCGCCTCCAACTCGCCACCTTCTGATTTGTCGGTGTCCTTCCTCTCCCTCTTGTGTCGGCGCATCTTCTCCAGTTTGTGTCGTAATCTCTCCTCTTTGTCTGTACTTCTCTTCCTTCTTCTCTCACTCGAGGCGTCATCTCTGTGTCTGTGTCTCTCTTTCTTTAATTCGGATGCTATCTCCCTCTCTCTGTCCGTGGGACTCAATATCTCCGTCTTAATAAATGTTCTGGAGGTGGAGGGCATGTTCTGTGAGGGACTCTCCTCCACCTCCTCCATGAACCTCTGTTCCGCCAGAGCACACAGCAGCCCCAACCCGTCCAGTGACGGCTTGTCACTGTCACCGGTGTTCACTAACGGGAACTGGAACCTTATCTTATGCGTCTCCACTTCATCGTCCGGCGAGGGAGACTTGGGTGAGGTTTTAATGAGTATGTTTATTTTAGTTGACGGCCTCGTGTCGATGGTGAGCGGTGCCTGGTCTGGTCCGGGCGCGTGGGTGCCGGGAGTGGTCCGCTCGAACTGTTCGATACTGTTGGAGAGGAGCTCCAACCCGCTGACATCGACGGGCGGGCGCGGCGCGGTGTGTAGTGGTGACAGGCGGCCGGGCGTGTCTATGACCAGGTCGTGTGAGCCGCGGCTGCTGCTGTTATCCGCGGCCTCTTCCCTCTCCACCGCGTTGATCGCCTTCTCCACCGCCCCCACCACGGTGGCCGCCACCAGGCCCTCCAGAGTAGTTTCCTCCGCGCCGTCCATGTTCTGATGTGTCGGTTGTATCTGTATAACGCTCGCTCCCTCCGGGTAGTGCGCGACCCCCACACACGCCACCTCCCGCTCGTCCTCGTCCCCGTTCATAGGAGCGTCCTCGTCCTCGTCGATGTGGTCCGTCTGGTTGGAGGCGTCCTTGTGTGCGGGGGCCTCGGGCGGCGGGGTCTGTGGGGCCGCCGGGGGACCCTGGGGCCTGCACGCCTGCTCTTGGAACTCAGGCTGGTAGTACAGGTGAGTGGTGAGGATCGGCTGCTGGACGGGCTCGGGGGCGAAGGCCTGGGGCTTCTCCTGCGGCGGCTCCGGCTCTATTTTGATGAGCGTGTGAGGAGTTATTATCGGCTGGATGAGGGGCTTCCTCTTATCGACGGGGTGAGGGTGAGGCTGTGCAGGCGGGGCGGGGGCGAGGGTGACCAGCCGCGTGGAGTGAGTGTGGGTGTGTTGGAGCGTGGCCGTGGAGGCGAGCAGGTCACCCGGCAGGAGCTGAAGGTGATGTGATGGATGAGGAGCGGGCGGCAGCAGTAAAGGAGTGGATGGATACGGTACTCCGCCCCACACCACCGCGTGAGGGAGGTCGGGGGGAGCGGGGAGGAGCAGCAGCGCTCCCGACGACGGCTCCCGGACCAGCTGGAAGCCGCCCACGGATGACATGCCGCTGCCCACGGACCCGACGCCCACGCCGCCCATGCCGCCCACCATCATGCTCTCCATCGACACTTGTGCTGAAATGTACATTTTGTTATGAAAATTACATTCCGTTTGAGACGACAACAAAGCAGTTTTATTTTTAGCAATAAATATAATAAAGATCATATTAGGTAATTATTAAACGCCAGGAGTCTCCCGTGATATGAGTCATTTTAATCAATTAGTCAACAATTTTAATAAATTGATATAAAAATAACTTATGGTTCTTAACTATAGAAAGAAGTAACTAACTATTTCTGAATACTTGCAAAATAATTTTAAATTATGAAAAAAACAGATAAGAAATAAAAATTTTATGGTAAAAGCAATACCTAACAAAACCGTATCATCAGGACGTCATAAACCGTGGAAAGGTGTAGTGGTTCAGGGGAGGTGTGCGAGAGGGACGGGGATATAGTGACGATTACTACATATAAGTTAGAGGGAGACGGAAGATAATGAGGAACACTTATATACATGTAGGTACTTAATATGATATAAAGTAGAATAATGACTGGAACCAGATATGTCGTCTGATTGTATATCGTTCCAGTCATTATATATGTTAAGCGACTTTATACCTTAATTCGATAGACACAAGGCTCACTTCATAATATTATAATATTGACCCTAACGGGACTGTCACACTGAACATATAGCATTTGTCCGCGACTTCGTCTGAATGAGAGAAAGACACACACACACATACATACACAAACACATACATACCTATAATGACATACAGACGTTCCTTTTTCAACTATAATGGGACCCGTTGTATCCTACATATCGTGGTGATCTGAACTACACCCTACAAAGCCTCATCAAACTAGGTTCAGCAGTTTCTGACTCAATGTGCAACATACATGCAAAAACGCAAACTACCTCGTTTATTAATCCCTAGTAATATTATAAATGCGAAAGTAACTCTGTGTGTCTAATGTCTATGTGTCTGTCTGTCTGTCTGTTACGCCTTCACGCCTAAACCACTGAACTGATTTTAATGAAATTTGGTACAGACATAGAGTTCACCATGAGAAAGAATATAGGATAGTTTTTATCTCAGACTTTTGAAAGGTTCTCTTGGAAACGCGATATAACTGAACTCAACGCGGGCGAAGCTGCGGGCGGAAAGCTAGTTATTATATAAGTATAAATATTTAATTGTGGTATTTGATAATTTTCATTATTTTATTATTCTTGTTATATTTCATAGTATTCTTGCAAAAAGTTAAGTTAAAAATACCTACGTACGATAGATAGATTAGTGATATGATGGAGAGAAACAGACTTCACTAGAGATGTTTGATATGTGGAGTGGAGTTAAACTGGTACAGAGACATACATACATACATACATACATAGATATGTAGTTAGAAACATGAGTGTTAAAACTGTATGTATGTCGAATAACGGAGTTGTTACGAAGAAACTCCTCACTAGAGACGGACTACGGATATATCTCAAGATAAAACTGATGATGTTACTAGGTACACTTGATGAGTTCATCGTGAGAGGTAGTCTACAATTATTAAACCTATTATGAATTTAGGAAACATATTTCTCGTGAATCGTGACCTTTGAGTGTCTGCTACACAATGATTTAACATATCTCATCTTTAATTTAACTAGATAACATCTCATCAGAACTCATATGAACTCATGGGAACTCATCTCCCGTCGATCTCTCTTTCGGAATCTATGAGCCCGATTAATATGAGAAGTGTTACAATGAATTACAAAACTAATCTCTTTAAAAATGTTTCTATATGGAACTTTATCAGGAAGTTTTATAGAAACATTTGGTTATTAGATATATACATACATATATACATACACGTAGTATTATAAATATATGTTCAGTATTAATAATGGTGTTCATTACAGTGTGTGTGTGTCTGTTTGTTCCCATCGATCACGCGCGTCACACCGACACACGACCATCGACGGACACCGAAAAATAACTATTAACACAAAAAAACAATTAATTCACAACACTAAATGTAGGAGGACCCTCAACTATCACGACCACACCCACTAACTATAAACGAACGCCATTGGCTGATACGACTCGGAGGCGGAGCCTGGAGGGCGGGGTCTCTGTTTAGGGTTGAGCGGAGATCGAGTGGAGTTATCGATAGAGAAGTTTTTATGATATATTTGTTGCGTGTTTTTTTTGATGATCGATAATTTATGTTTCGCGAGTGACGTGAGTTCCGCTCCGTGTGGGAACAGACAGACAGACGTACGGACACTGAATGGAATCCTTACGAAAAATATTCTGTCGAGTCTCAAACATTTTTATTAGATTTTAGATGATTTTAACTTGGAATGTCTTTATATTATCTTTATTACATAGTTTGGGTAAAAATGTTTAGTAGTTCATAATGATCTTGAGCGAAGTAATTCATTTTCATTTCGTTTCACATTTGTATCCAACTGTTTGTTTATAAATTTTAAATAATACATGAATACGTGATATTAAATATTACTTCGACTTTTTCGTAAGGAAGAGATCATCATAATGTTTGTCATTTTCATTTATCTACTAAAGTTATATTTTATATGTTGTTGATACTCGGGTCGGCATATTACTACGACGAATAGGGAATAAAAAAATTACACGAATAATTTCTGTGTACAAAATAATACATTATCTTCGTTATTTTGTTCACACAACTTATAAAACAATGGAAAGTGAATAGAGAGGAAGTTGATGGAAATATATGATGTTAATGAGACAAGTCGCAGGACGACACTAACACCCAGAGTAGAGTTAATAAAGGAAAAAGGTCTATTGAACTATTAAACGTGTTGTATGAACAAAAATTAAAAGAGGGTGGGCGGGGGGACGGCTCGGGTGGTGGAGGCGGGCGGGGGGGTGTCATACAACATGACGTTACGATGATTACTGGATTTTATACACACGAAGAGTAATATTTATTATATAATGTTTAATTAAAAAGGTAATAAACAAATAACAAATAACTTGATGCATTCAGCGTGTCGCATCGTGTTAGTTTGACGTCGTGATCGTGTCGTCACACACACACACACACACACACACACACACACACACACACACACACACACACACACACACACACACACACACACACACACACACACACACACACACACACACACTGTACTATAGACATGGGGCCGCGGGGCGGTGGAGGGGAGGCGGGGGGCGACCAACAGAGAGGAACGGCGAGCGGCGAGCTTGGCGCGTAGATACCAGGAGAACATGAACACGGGGGAGGTCTCTCACCTGGGTACTGCCACAGCGGCGGGGCGGCGGGAGCGGGGGTCGGCCACGCCATGGGGGCGGGCCGGTCATCACAGAGTACGTTGGCCACGCCCACCGTCATGGCCGCCTGCGTGTCTGCAATGACAATGTGACGGTTTAATCTGCAACGGTCACTCGTTAAAAATATACTAAATTAATAATTATTATAAATTAGCATAAAATATACATGGAGCTGGGTCTGTGTGTGTGTGTGTGTTCACGTGTGTTTGTGTGTGTAATGTAAACGTTACTTCAATATTAATAAACAAATAAATAATTCTAATAATCATTTTTGAGAGGTGTTAAGAATGGTAAATGCAAGTTTTTATATATCCACAGGGTACCTAATGTAAAGGGTTTTTCATTCTCATACTTATTACCTGTCTGTATTGTGTTTAACTGAAACTAACTTTGACTGAAGTCGTCTAAATTAATAGTAGATTATTTTCATTAAACTACTACAACAATTAGTTTTGTTAAGTTCACTGACCCTACTTACATAACTGTATACTTCTGCTACGATGGCCAATCACTAAATAAATAAAAGCACGTTTTTATATGAAACTAAACTTATTTTGTTTGTTGCTTAAAAACGAAATCTCCCAGTGAGTTCTCAGTACCGGAGCGCCAGCGGCCGGAGGAGATTAACGTTACGAAACGACAGGACCACGTGCTTCTATAACCGTCCTTCTCGCACACGTACCGCCCTCTCTGTCTCTTTACGGCGACAAGCCACAGAGCAGGCAGTACGCAGAGAGACCTCGTATACGTTAATATAACTAATTTCTATTTGAAAATATATTCATGAGTGTCATATTTATATCCGTTTCAGAAACGTATCATAGCGTATGTTATTTTAAATTATAATTAATTGTCAAACATGAAAATACAAATCGCTTCTAAAATATGTTTTCTGTGTGAACGGTCTATGGACAGTTATACTGTGGCGCGTATCGCTCGACCTTCACCGGTCGGACGCGCTGTTCTCTCGGCCGCATTCCACACATAAGTCTGTCTCGCTCGCACCACCGTAGGCCGACAGCGTACATCTCCTAGTGCAGTCTGTTCTCCTAGTATCACGCGCGCTGAAGAAAAGGGTTTATCCGACGCCGAATTCACGCGGATGCCGCTAAGATTTTCCGGCCAACTGATAGTTTTCCGCGGAAACGGTGGAAATCATAAAAAGCCGAGCTCCGAGTGAGGCGGACGTGTGACGAGCCGTGAGACGTGTCGGTGAAGGTGTTCTATATACGGTACAGCTTACAGCCGACTGTGTGATGTTCAGTTCGGTCGTCTATTAGTGAGTTTACAAACAACGCGTATCGTTGTACTATTTTCAGTCTAGAATATCTAGGCCAAATAAATATATAGACTCCCTTTATAGACTGACACGGCGCTGTCCCGGCCGGCTAGCGACCACCTACCGTCACTCTCACCACCGACTACAACTCAGTAACACAAATAGACAATGGTGTTGGTGATAGGGAGCAGGGTGGTCAACTAGAGGTACTTACAACAGTTAAACTACAATAAAAATTAATAAATTCAAGTATAAGTCAGTATTATTTAAAAAATTCAAGTCGAAACGAAACTGTATTTCATTAAAGGCATGTTTAATCCCGGGCTCCCCTCGAGCCGGTATGTACGGTGACATGAATGGAATCCGACCTCCCGATTTAATTCGATAAAATTTAAAGCTGCCTTTGAAATATTCATCTAATTGAGGACGATCGACTTTAGACTCTAGCGGCAGGTGATAAGGTCTAGATCGAGAAACGACGATGAGAGGATGACACTATGAGAGTACCAGCTAGCAGGCAGGTACCAGGCCAGTACTAGGGCTCTAGGAGGACGAACTCACTCAGACCTATACAATATATTACGATTAGTTTACTAGTTAGTGTACCAACAATGCGATCACCGGCATATTATTTGTATATCCGATTCTTTTATTAGTCTGCAAATCATACGGATTAAATAATAATAATCTTTATTCCAATTACGGCAAGATTGAAAATTGATCGACTTTATATTCATCCTGTCGAATGGGCCCTTATATTTTTAGTTCAGTGCAGTTCGCCTCTGTCACTGTCCTTCTCATCACACATTATTCTCTATACCGAGTCCCAGCTCCTCATGGCTCCATGTTTTCGTCACCAGATCACATCATGACAATCACTGTCATCTCCATATTATCTTTAAATTGTTGTTCAGTATCAATATGTTTAATGACATCTCAACCATACAAATATATTTTATGACCAAACAAATTGAATGAATGACGTAACATGTATTGTAATTACATCCATGTACCTATGTGTTGTATGTCTGTGAAACTGTATTTTATGTCTGTGTAGTGTATCCTGGGTGTGAAGTGTCTCTGCCTGTGTGTCTTTGTGTGTCCCTGTGTGTGTCACGCGTCTGTGTCTGTGTGTCTGTGCGTGTCTCAGTGTGTCATAGATCGAACCCGCCATGTACCAGGGCTTCAGTGGAGCGAGGAATAGCGAGGGGCGACACAGAGGGATGGTCTCACACAGGCTCTACTTACTAGCTCCTTATAAAACCCACTCTAGTTATCTCTTAAAATAATTTTGGAGGTCGTGTACTTTAATCATTAACTACACTAAATATAATACTTCAGAAATGATTGTAGTTGAATCCTACTACACAATTTATTTCTTTAGGAAAAGTATATGAAGAAAAAAAAATTACATACTATATGTATGTGTATCTAAGATGTACAGAAACTTTCTGTACATAATCGTCATTATTATATTACGTTGATATGTGAATTTGATCTTAGCGAACTATCTAGTAAGATTATTTTGGTCTCGCTATCGAGTAAATAACAAATGGGAGAAAGTGTAATGTTTATCCTAACATGAAACTTACAAATGAGTCATAATTGTCCCTACTAACTGGTTACTAAGAACTTTATTATATAGAACTTAATACAAAGCATCTCATACAAAAAAATAAAATAGTTTTGTTTATAGTAAAAATATTCAACTAGGACAATGGACTCTTAATATTGAAAATATAATATTAATCTCCCAGTGACACCAGCACACAACGTTCGGTCATAAAACTATGATAGTTTATTAGTAATCAGCGGCTACGGACCGCTCGCTGTGTAATACCCTGCCATTCTATTAAAACCACTATATCAATATAAATAAAGCTCATTTCCCCGTGCATCGTCTCAGTATCGGCCTACAGTACACGCTCCCCCAGCCGCTGGTCCCCTGGTAGGTGAACCTCGGCCGTGTTCTCATCTCTCAGAGATCACTCCGGCGGGATGCTGCGACCGACCCGCGTGGACTCGCACCCTCACTATTATTACTTATTGGGATTCCATCACGAGTGACGTCACACGTCATAAATACTTCATGCATCGGACGTGAATGTTGTTATATAGAATAGAATAGAGTTGTTTTGTAAGCAAGCATTCATAAAATTTAAATTCTTCACAAGTAACTTACAAGATTACAATCAATACCAAAGCCATACTTAGTAGTAGGTACTTATGAGTGTTGTCAAAATATATTGCAATATCGTGATTAATATTAAAGAAACGTAAACGTATTTTATTAGTAATAAATTAATAGTTAAATGATATAACTTGTACACATGAGTAGACTTTTTTTAACATTTTTATACGACAAAAACGGACGAAGTCGCGTCAGTAAGCTAGTATAGTTATAACACAGGATACTTCATTCAATACGTCAGTCCGTTCGTTTATTTCTTACTAGTTGTTATTATTCTGTTCATTTATAGTTTTAATATTCATGACATTTGCAGAACATCTAACGTGCGATTATAACTTACAACGAACAGAATAAACAAACACGTCGGCTACAGGCAGATACGGGGGAATGGCTTAGTGTAGGAGGGAGCGGGGAGGAGGGGAGGGGTGATGAGGGTCAATGACATTATATTAAAAATACTACCTACGAGTCATGAAAACACCTGCTAAGACGATTCTAATTAAACATTACCTTTAAAGGAACCCTAGAAACGTTAAGAGTTGATTTCAACTGATAATAATAGATTAGTATAACGAATGTTTCCTTGACATATATCAATGTATTCCCACGTAACGGATATCATTATAACGATACATTTTTCTCCGTTTCCATAATACTCATATAATTGTTCTCAAACGACTCCGGTCCTAAGCCAGCTCGTAATTATAATTTACCAACAAATTAGTGAGCGCTGTTCTTGATTACAACCGCAATAACATGAGTACTACAGTGACCATAGTCCGAGTGTCCGAGTGTGACGATCACACTTCATACGAAGCGTTTACTGTTTTTCATATCATATACCTATTATTGTACGCAGATTTATCAATGAAAAACTGATAACTCCGTATATAGTCTGTCGATGGAGCTCGGACTAAGAATGCATTTTTTTTTAACCATTTCTTATTAAGCTGAGTTCACACAGCATCTTATAGACTCTGAACCCATGAAAATTTTGACAATATTACGTAAAAATAACCTTTATAATTTTTTCTAATAACAACTACAACCTGTAAATAAGGTTGTGTTGAAGAAGTTACTGTTCAGTCGGAGTGAGCGTGATGTAATGATAACGACATTTGATTTACGACTGAAGTAACGAGAAACACTCCCAACAAACATTACGTTACGTGCAACAAATATGCGTACAATTAGTTGCACCAAAAGCTCCGTTAATAATTGTTACGTAACGGAAACTCGTTATCGGTATATGTCGGTCGGTATTTTTTATATATATCTTAATTATATTTTTTTGTATTGATGACCGTTGTTGATACATAGTGGTACCAGGCTGTCAGAGACGGCCGAGAGGCTGATTATTTCATTGGTGACGCAATTACTAGCGACGACGAACGGCCGACTATACATACACACAAGCCGCGGATAGACTCGCTCGACTGAAGAACATACTATATACGCTAGAGAGGACTGACCGAGGATTCTGGATGGAACAAGGATATTGACCAGTTTAAAACAATTCAGAAATTGATCAGTTGTTTAATAGTAATTAATATGTGTTATTTACCGATGTCATGTAGTCGCTGGTTGTCTTTCTGTGAGAGCGCGGCCAGCAAGCCCCCGTCGCCCACTCGCTGCCTAGCCACCGCTATACCGACCGGGATAGAACCTGTATCACATACTACTATTATAAAATATATTAAATTTTTGGGTAGAAAAATTAAATTTGGAGATAGTTCCGTTGTCAATGATCTGAAACATTCGTATAATCATTACCAGCATAACATAAACGAACAAGAGGTGTGAGATACGACACTCACGGAGCAGTTTACAACTGACGACATTTATTTAATTAAAGTGACGAAGTTTGAGATAAATTGATCGCAGTTTCACTCATCCACTAAAAGGATTTTATTAGATTGTTGGTGTTGACCATTATTGAGTGAGGGCGGTATAGGCGGTATAGGCGGCGGGTCCGGCTTGTGTCCGGGCGAGGCCTGCTCCAGCTTGACGGCCACCAGCTCGGACACGTGCATGTGCTGCGGCTCGCGCTTCACCTGCACCACGCTCTGACCCCCGACGTGTCCTCCCACGTGACCCACACCCAGCCACGTGACGGGGTTGGTCCGACTGCAGCCGCCGTCCGTGTGGATCACCTGCCGATACACCTCTCAGCTGTTTATGATGCTCTGGTACCATAACAAAAAACGAAACGCTGTGACAGTCAGCAGTAGGTAAGTATAGTATAGTTAGTATACCTTCTTGGGCGAGGTGGTGAGACAGGTGTTGCAGGTCCTCTTGGCCTGCTCCATCTTGATGGTGAGCGGCTCCATCATCACTCCGTCCAGCAGCTGTCTCTGGTCCGGACAGCAGAGCGTGTCCGGGATACATTTACCCATCTTCGAGTCTTCCATCTTACTGGTCTCCCTGTACGTACACACAGATATACATGTTAAATGTTTTTTGATGATGACGACACTGTTATACAGAACATGACATTCAGTTAAAGTAATGATTATTATCACGACTCACTTGTCAGCGAGCAGCAGCCGGTGCGAGCAGTTGAGCAGCTCCAGGTGTAGCGGAGGGTAGGGGGAGTGAGTCGGCGGAGGAGCTGGAGCAGCTGGAGGAGCTGCAGCAGCTGCCAGCGACGACACGGAGGACGAGAACACGCTCTCACTCACTGACGGACACACGGACGAAACATGCTTTATAACGACTGTGAGAACTGAGGGCTGGTGGAGTGTGTGTACTTTATACTGTATTAATTGATTTGACTATTTTGTTTATTTTAGTAACGTAAGTTGGTCTGCAACACACCACCGCATAGGAGGATCAAGGGACGAACAAATTATTTCGTTGATGAGAGTAATTTATTGTAAGGGTTCAAGATGTGGCCCCTGGGGAAATACGGCGAGTTATCTATAAAAAGGTCAACGTTGAACCCTTCCAGAGCCTGAGAGCTCATCATGTACTATGGAAACATTCTATTTGTTCCAGACAGTGTAGTGTCCAGTTTAATGAATATGTACATTTATAATAATTGCGTGCAAGCGTTAAGGAATGGATTATTTCTATCTAATCTCATCTCAACCAACACACAGCACATGTTTAATTATAGTTTCCCCCCCGGTCAGTATGAGATGTGTGAGTGACGTCATCGACAGTGCTCTGTTGTGACGTCATCACCATTACGACACACGTGCTTACGAACTAGACCACACAAAGAGTATTTGTTGTGTTATTACTTACTTTATGTACATATTGTATTACCTTTATGTATCTGAGTGGATCTGCTGCCTTGTGTCGGGAACAGGGAATACAACGGGAACCGAGTTACACCTGAGGGAAGGACAGACATACACTACACTGATATTATAACAATAACAACTACAGAACAGGACAATAGAAAACAAGGATTGTAAAGCATATTTATATTATTAAAATTTTAATTACTTAAATTTTTATATTATTAAAATCTCAATTTTGTTACATTTTATTATTTAGAGAAGAAAGAAGAATGTCACTCACTAACTGAAAAACAAGCGGGTGAACGAACTCGGCACGAAACTAGAGTAAAAAACCTTAGTGTACCAGGAGAGCATACCTTGATGGAGGTCAGTGGGCGGGCGGGAGCGGGCGCCCCCCGCCGCCCCGCCCAGCATCGCTCCACGTTATGAACCACCTCACCACCTGTACGAGGAGAAACAAACAAAACTCTGTTAATGTTATGGGAGCCTGGTACACGCTCGGACCATACCTTACACTATGGGTCCTCGTGAAAAAATGAAATATGATAAAAAGTGTCGCCGGTTTTAACGGTTTATATTAAATGTTAATTTAGTTGAGATGCAACAGAATCAATGATGTCAAAGTATACATTCTCATAAAACGACTTATTTTATAACTTTTATTCATTATAAACATTGTTTCCGAGACCAGACAAACATACATACGGGCAGATAAACATTTTTATTATATAATATATATTTTTATTACATTAATAAATTGTGTTATTATTTTGTAAGACATATAATAAATAGTGAATAAATGAATTAATAATTAATCAAGCTCGTGTTTCATTCAAACGTTATTTCATCATCATCACTATCACTCAACATGTTTGTTATTTTATTCACTCTACAAAGATCGTCTCGTGACGTCACAACCTTTATCTAGACTTTTGTGACGTCATCTACATTTATTCTTTTCACTCTCTTCCTATTATTTATATAATTTAATAAAAGACCAACTATTAAAAATTGTTTTTTTTAGAAATTCGTAAAATCATACAAACAACATTCATTAGAGAAGCTTCCTCATATTGGTTTCGGTTAAATGTGTGATTTGATTAAATCGAATTAATTGGATCGTTTCAAACGTTATTTCATTATAGTAGGTAGGTAGGTAGGTATACTGTACATGTCTGTAGGTAGAGTGTGGACAGGTGCTCCTGCGTCTTATGTACTCCTGGTACTACACAACACTTTCTACCACCGCGATCAAGGACATACACAACAAAAATACTGAGAAAGAAGAAGAGGAACATACAAAACTACAGTCATGGTGGTTACTCTATACGAGATGAGAAGCACACACAGACACAAAAACACGCACAGTCACACACACACACACACACACACATAGACACAGCGGGGTGTTATTAAGTAATTACTGGTAACGACACGCTGGTGATTAAACAATTATGACAATTATTATTGACACGACACGATCACGACACGAGACGAGACGACACGACGATATAAACAAATACAAACATTATAATATATAGGACGATATTTAATGTAATGAGTTATAATGTATCAAAATATACCAAACACTAGAGAGAGCGTGTTGGACACGTGACAGAAGGAACTGACACACGGTCATTAGGTATATAATTACATTATATTATAGGTACTATTGTATTGTTTACATGTAACATATAAAGCAAGTCAATAATAGGTTGTGGGTGTCATGAGCTGTGATCACTATTACCACGAGTGTTTACCGTCATACTGCCCGTGGAGCGTTCATACTTTAGCGTCTTCGGTTATATAGTGTTGTGTTTATAGAGGAACTATAATGATAGTCAGGATCTAACACCCTGTTACGAACAAACAAACTTACACTTGAGAGGGTTAGTTCGCGTCAATTTATTGGGTATATTTTTAATGTTTGTCTTGCTGATAGTTCTGTAACATGTATTCTAATATATTATTTACATATTAAATGAACAACTGTCTCACATTCATCACTACACTACAGTACTGTGCTAATATAACACATGACTACCGTACTTATGCCTTTTTCACCTACATCGTACATTTTTATACACATTTTTTTCTTCATTGATATTTTTCGTCATCCTCAAATCGAAATAAATTATTTTATTAATTTCAATTATTCGGAGAACTTCATATAAATCGAAATATAAAGTAAATGAGAAATGAAAATAATGTGTGAAATTATGTTAGATATGAAAGATTTGAAGATTATACTGAAAAAGATACGATAAAACTAATATATATAAAACCTATATTACAGTTTTTCAATAGTGGCTGTAATACTGGAGGATACAGTCCGCTCACTACGTATGTAATACGTACAGTTGACGTGACCCTAACATGTTTATTGTTATATATTATATATACGTATATATTCACGTATTATTTCAGTGGACACACAAACACACACACACATACACATATAACGGCGGGTGATGACGTCACTGACACTCTACACCCCATGAGCCGCGTATAATAGTTTGTGTGAGCAATAACAAAGTAGCTTTTAGTACAAGTGTAGTTTGTAACTAATTAAAAGGGAATTATAATTAAAGTCAAGTAAGGAGGTTCAATTAGGTTTTTATATGCATATTAATTATTATTAGTATATTATACTAGTTAATAGTTATATAAAATTTTTATATATATAGGTAAATATTATGCATTTTCACTACAGCGTATACTTTTATTGATTACATTAACAAAAAAAGAACTAAAGACTTTTTTGTATGAATCAATAATATAGGAATATCTGTTTGTTAGTTCGTCACATAAAAACTACTAAACTGAATCTCACAACTAACATAGCTCACACAGAACTAAAACCGAATAAAGGGATATTTGCAGAATATATGAGAATTATAGGTATAATTTCGTTCAAAATATATTATGTACATGTAGCGTACAATTTATATATTAGGTTTACAAATGGCTTCAGCATTTTATAAACGAACCTAACACGATAAAAATGCCGCTTCAAATTATAAAATGCTTTTTCATATTTATAAAATATCGAAGCATTTTTAACTTACATATTATACACATCGCGTGCAACACATATTTATGTTTTAAACACATACAAACATCACTAGTACACGAAATATAAGGCTAGTAATAAATCTGATTTGTTCTTGATACAAACATTAAAGGGTAGTTTTTAATGAGTGTGAACCGTGCAGGGGCGGAGTTCCTGTGTGAGGAGAGCCTTATATCGTGTTATGGAAGTGAAAACACCATCATAATGTGTTCATACTTTCTAGTAAGACATGGTCGTCATCATCAGCCTATCAGAGCCCACTGATGAAAGGCGTCTTCTCACATGGAGAAGGTTTGAGCATTAATCACCACGCTTGCTCAAGAGTCAAGACCGGTTGGTGATTTCAAACTTATAATTTGATATTATAAGTCCAAGTTTCCTCGCGATGTTTTCCTTCATCTATCAGTGATGTCTAAATACTCTTATAAAGTACATATGACTCGGATCAATCACATTACTACTTGCCAGGTTTCGAACCCGTGCTATCATATATGTTAGGCGAGCCTTTAACCACTAGACTACTGACTAGTATATTACTATAATACAATTTCTTTACTAATATGTTGTGGTCTGCTTCATCGCTACCTGCTTTGGGTCCCATTCCTAGAACTAACGATCGTTTTTAGGGATTACCATCTAACAAATTCGGGCGATGAAATTTTGTAACAATATAGGAAATATAATATAAATATACTTATAATGATTATTTAACATTGTTGTGTGTATAAATTATAAGAATTTAAATATATAATTATACAATTAGTGAAGTATGAATAGATGTTAGGTAGGTATATGAAACCAATGTTAATACTTAAAAACGTTAACAAATATGTATGTGAATTTGTTGATAATATTAATATACATAAAAATTTAACGATGTTTTAATTCTCAACAATTATATTCGAGGTATCAGTAGAAATAACACATTTGAGAAATATTCAAACAATCGATAGGGAAAACAATCACGTAAAACTATAATATTAAATGTAATTGTAATTGTAACTATATGTACGTAGCTATATCAATGTTCTTATATACAGTGTAGTATATAACACAGTACATATAGTATGGAGCCTGCTTGTTCTGACTCCACAAACCTCGTCACGAGGATTCGGCTATTGTTACAAGCGGCGCCATTCTCTCCGCATTGATTATTATAATATACTATAATCCTTATAATTATTATTATGGCTAGTTGTAATTTCATAATGGTAACATTTAAGTATTAACTTGTATTTGAAAACTATGAATTCTGGCTGAAGGATGTAGTATGGATTGATCATAACATCTCAATACATTCATACACTCACTATCAACACCAATATACTTAGTCCGAGTACACATCGTCGTACTACAAACGAATAGTTTACTGTTTTTCATACAGTAACCTACCTTTACACTATAATATTTATAACTAACTTTCCACCCGCGGCTTCGCGAACGTGTAGTTCGGTTATGTCGCGTTTCCAAGAGAACCTTTCAAAAGTCTGGGATAAAAACTATCCTATGTTCTTTCTCAAGGTTAATTCTATGTCTGTAGGAAATTTCATTAAAATCATTTCAGTGGTTTAGGCGTAAAAGCCTAACAGACAGACAGACAGAGTTACTTTTGCATTTATAATATAAGTAAGTACTATAGTATAGTTCTAGTCATATCTCGTCCTCCCTACTACTCGTTTCGTGTCAGTAATAAAGAAATAAAGTTAAAATTCCCAGTCAGAGATGACCGTACTGTAATAATCAATCAGTTAAAGTGGTCATGTTTTGTTTTGTCCTGGTCTCTGTAACACGTCCCTCCCAGCATCTATTTAATCTCGTACCTTTATTTTTGATTCCCGTGAAACGAAAACTGGTTTTTAATTTTAAACATTTAGATTGATTGGAGATACTCGACACTCGTATGTATTCTTGAACGATTTCAATTTTTGGGGATTTGGTTTATTAGATATAGGGAGAACCGGGAATGGAAGTAACAGAAATATTTTATGATATGAACAGAGATGAGAAAGAGAGAAAGAAATAAAGAGAGAAAGAGATAGGTAATATTTTGTTTTTAATTGATATTCCTCAACATTCTGTGACCTGTCTCTAAAATACGTAAAGTCTGAAAGTATCCTTCTATACAATGAATCCTTTCAACTTATATGTAATATACCTACATTGTTATAATAACTCGACTTCAAGAGATTAATTTTTAAATTGTAGTGTGAAGCAAACGATTAGGCCACATAAGCTATGAAAACTTAGTTTATCTCGTATATATTTTTTAATACATGTTATCCGTACTAATATTGTAAATGCGAAAGCAATTCTGTCTGTCTGTCTGTCTGTCTGTTACGCT